AATCCTAACCTGGCTGCCCGATTTTTTTTTTTTTCGAACTTATTAACTTTTATCTGAAGTAAATGAACATAGTTTGCAAAAGGACGCACTTGCCTACCACTAGCGTTTTTTATCCAAAGTTATTTTTCTTCCTCTCCTTTAAAATTATTCTTAAGAATACGGACAACAACACAACAAGCAACAAATAAATAAAAAATGGACAAAAAGGTGGAGTGAAAATCTCGTCAACACGAACTTTTTTTTTTTTTTTACTTCATTGATCTGACTCATTTTTCAACCCATACCGAAACATGGAAAAATCTTTCAGTACGCTCAGGCCATTTCCAATGTGTCAACGTGTTTGTTCTTTTTTTACTCCCTGATTGTTATGATACAACGAAGAAAGAACAAGTACAACTCATTTTTTATTTTTATTTTTTTATTTTTTTGGCGGGAGGATGTAGATAGTTATCCCGCTGTTTGGTAAGCTTTTTTTTTTTTTTTTTTTTTTTTTTTTTTGGAAAGGAATGATTTAGACAATCTGATTTTTATCCGGAAATGGAAGCAGAAAAAACGTGGTATCTGTAACCTTTTTTTTTCCGTATCTATTGGATATGCTTCACTTGGTGTAACAGGTTCAGCAAATTCTTTCAAAGTTCGTGTAAAGATCATGCGGATGACAACACTAGGCATAACCTTAGCATATCCTAAACATGCCTGTTACGGTTCAGACCACCATTGTCATAGTCTAATCCAATAGCGTGAGACTAAGCCTGACGAGCCTGCGTGCTTTTCAAGCCGACGAGAGAACGGAGAAGAGGAAGGGGGATGGAAGGAGGTGAGGGGGAAGTAAGTGCCTGTGGTGAAGGGAGCCTTCACCAACTTTATCAAAAAAAAAAAAAAAAAAAAAAAAAATTCGGCAATCGTGCAGGTTCATGGCGGCACAAACGAATGGCCCCTGTATATACACATTCTTTATACCTGAACCGCTCTTTTTTTTTTTGAAATGCAAACATAAAAAAAGGCATTGCATGATCCGTTTTACGAGCCAAGCATTTTTTTTTTTCTGATCGCTGTTTAGTTTACTGCATGGGGCAATCACCCTGCATTCTCGAGACATCCCCGACAATGACCACGATCAACGTACACAGAGCAAAAAAAAAAAAAAAAAAAACTTGAAGAATCTCCGCATTTTTTTTTCTAATTGTTTGTCTTTTTCTATTTACAATTATCTGCTACTGAACCATCAGTAATCTAACTGAGTCACTGCGCCTGCGGTTATAATTTTTCTCTTTTTTTTTTTTTTTTTTGTTATTGTTATTGTTATTGTTATTGTCATTGTTGTCATGTTTTAAAATATTGTTTTGCTGCTGTTTTGTTGATCCTGGCTGAGTAAAAAAAAGAAAAAAAACACACAATTACGATTGTTGGTGCACGGCGCAAAAAAAAAAAAAAAAAAAAAAAAAAACTCATGCATCTCACCTTATTTTTGGACATAAAAGCTTTCTTGAGCCATGCATCCATTACAAATGACGGATGTTTCAACCGCCCAAACCTTTATATTTTATCTTTACACGTTTTTTTTTTTTTTTTGTTTTTATCTAATAAATTATAAAGCAAGAATAACGGCGGGAAGTTAAGATTACGTGACTAGTTTGCAGCCGGAATGAATCACAAGAAAAGTGAACGAAGGCAAATGTGGGGAAGAAAAGGTCAGTGACTTTGTTGGGAAGAAGGGAGGAATATACATGTACTTGTATATCATAATAAAAATAACAGAGTATAGATTTGCGTAAAATAAAATAAAATAAAATAAAATAAAAGGAATGAGTGCTGGTTTCCCAATGTGCGCTTTGCAACGGACTAAATTCAATTATGGATATGTATATATAAATATACTTTATCCGCTCTGCAACCCTTTGCCGCCCTTTTTCCTATTCTTCCTCTATCCTTTTGTCAAAGGCAAAATAAACAATATTATATACACATGCATGACAATTGTTTAGTTTTTAGTTCAAGTACTTATATAACATTATTGTTATAATATATATGACTATGCTAATGACTACAAACTCTTTTGATACTCTCTCGCTCTCTTCAAGACTTTTTTTTTTTTTTTTTTTTTTTCTCACTGCTCATTTTGTCCATGACATTCCTCTATAATGCTCGCGCAATCTATTCAATCTTTAGTAGGCCGAGCGTATTATTTGTATTTAAATATATGAATAAAATGGTTTTATATTTAAAAATGTAATAATATTGGTTTGGATTGAAGGGGGTTGCAAGTATATAAAAATATATTTCAATTTACATTTGGTTGCCTAAAGGAGGTTGGTATTCAATAGAAAAGTAAATGGTCCTTTTTTTAACACTTTACCCCTGTTAAATGAGTGCATGTATAAAGTTTTTTCTGTGTTTATTTATGACATGCCATGTCAATTTGACGGGAGTAATGGAGAAGCATATGCAATATATATATTCATAAATATATATCTGTCTATTCTATCTATTCCATATATCTAGTTGAATTCTTTACTCTTCTCTTTTCTCTTTATTCTTTGCTGCTTACTTTTTTTACTTTTATTTTTTATGACCATGCTCCGTGTATAAGATCTGCCGTCGAATTGAAACAGATTCTCACTTTTCTGTTTTTCAATACCACATATTGGAACGCACAAATAAAAGAGGACGACATCTTTGGTCGAGACAAAGGTTATTCACGTCCATTCTCGGTCAGCAATTGTGAGTGGATTGACATCTGGCTCGTTTCACATTTGCGGCGTACCTGAATTGACATCTAAATAGAAAGGAATGGGAATGAGAAAACGAGATTGGATGGACAATAGATTAAAAAAAAAAAAAAAAAAAAAACTATTGCCATTGTGATGGTCAATTTGTCTGCTGAGTATTATTTTATAAGGATTAATCTGGAGTGGATCCAGTTTAAAGATTTCATGACCCACTACAAGTTTTTTTTTTGTCAATCGCTAGTTAAAGATGGCCCAGATTTTTTTTTGTCGCCAACTTTCCCTTTTCTTTTTCTCCCACCTCAACTACACTCTTCTCCCCTTGCTCTTCTCTATCCGTCTATCTTGCTCTATTTACCGACGAGCTCCTTCCCGTAAACTGTGAATAGAGCGCACTATCAGTTTTTTTTTACCAAAAAATAAAAGATAAAAAGAAAGAAAGAAAAAGAATATAATAGGTGCTCGTTGTCCGTTATCCTCTCACTATTGTACACACAAACATCCCATTGCGTTGGCACACAATCACCCATGCGCACATGCAGAGAAGCACCTTCTGTCCATCCTTATTCATTCTTTTCCCACACCAACACCAGCGCTTTATTCAAGTTTATTATTCAGTTTTTTTTTTAAATGTTCATTAGAATCAATTGAATAAAAATTGAATAAAACTAACTGAAGTAAGCATTCATCTTTTACAATACTCAATCAATACCCTCTCCTTATTTTGCTCAACGAACGCTGGAGCCTCTTTCCTCTGAGTATTCTTTCTCTTTTATGCCTTTTATTGGTGATCCCTCTCTTCACTATAAAAAGTCTTGCCATTGTGCAAAAAAATCTTTTGGCACCTCTAATCCTTTCCTTTCAATCTCTCTTGTCTCCCATCTGTGATCCCTGCAAAGGTATTTTTTGATTTTTGTCATTTACTTTTGCCTCTTCTCAACTGGGCGAGGACCATTATCCGCTTCATACCCACTCAACCATTATCTACCCATCCTTATCGTCATCCTTGTCCCCCCCCCCCCCCCATTCATCATACAAAGACAATTCCACACTTTTATTCACTACTCAAACACGGAACCCACTTCTATTTTCACACTCACACAAGCGACCAAACAGTTTTATATTCATGCCCCCATCCTTTCTTTGAATATCCAGGCAAATAAGATTTTGTCACGCACTGTGAACACAGAAAATAAGGATGGGAACACAAAAAAAAAAAAAAAAAAAAGCATAGTGTCCAGAGTGTCGGTTGAGACTTCCAAAGATTTTTTTTGCAATCAAGGAAGTGTTTCCCTTGGATGGAGACGCGGATTTGGATGTTAGTCGGACACTAACGTTCATGACTCTGATTTTTATTTATTTCATTTTATTTATTTAATAATGTATGTTTTTCTTAATACAGCCATCAAGCAAGTCAACTAGCCAGTGACCAGCCCCCCCGCGTTTGACCGAGATTGCAATAACAGCCATTACGAACTCCTCATCACTAAACAACCAAACAAGTTCAAACGAGACAGAGAAGAACCCAGCCTCTTCAGCTCGATAGATATCATCATCTATCACATCATTATCTTTCTACCATTCACCCATATTAATAACAAGAACAGTTGTCAACCAATCCAACGCGTTGCACACCTAATTGTCGATTTTCTTTTTTTTTTTTTCTTCCTCTCCTTCACTCATTCAATCACAAGACATTTCACACTCCAGCATTTTTATTTTTTTTTTTATTTTTTTGCTCTTCTCCTTTTACTTCGCCTCTTTCGGAGCACCGTTACGGCTTGCCTTACGTTGCACCCACATCACCGCCAATCATCATTTCCACCAGTATCACAAGCGACAGGCAAGGCAGTAACAATAGCAACAACAACAACAACAACAACAATCTCATTAATCATATATTAGAATGATCTTATTGTTATTATAATATACCTTTTCTCCTCTATCCCATTGCATAATACAAATCTCACACACTTCCAACCTCTCCTCGCTTTTCTCTTTAACAAGCAATTGCTATTCATCCTTTCATTTATCCTAATTAGTCCATATCCCCGGCCCAAAAACGGTTGAACTCAAAAAGAAAAAAAACGGCTCTATCCTCTTTCCACGTTTATTTTTTTATTTTTTATTTTTTATTTTTTATTTTTATTTTTTGCAGTGTACTACCGCTCTTTCTTCTTTAATTCCCTGCATCAATTTGTACGACTCAATCTAAAAACACAACGGTCTTTTTTTTTTTTTTTTTTTTTTTTTACCTCCAAAATCCCTTTCCGTCCTACAATCACCATGAGTAGTACATCTAAATCTACAGCCATTTCCACCACATCCAGTTCCTCACATTCTTTAGCAACTCCACCTTATACTGATCCACATACACACGGTACATTATCGTCATTGGATGATCTCAGAGAGACCATGTCTGCATTTGATGATCTTGGGTTCAATCTCCCAGAACCATTTAGTCCTAATTCTCATGATCAACAATCACAACTTCCAAGCTCTCTCTTCCATCCTTCGTCGCCTTCATCGTCATCTTGCGCAGCCGACCTGATTTCGTGTGATTTCCCTTCTCAAGGTGATCACAAAGATGAAAACAACCTGGCGACTATGGAATTGTTTTCAGAACAAGGATTTGATTTTAACCTGGCTGCTACTGAGCTCTCTGGCCCTTCATCTACAGCATCCGCTGTTGATTCGTTACAAACAAACGGTGGATCAATGTTTGATGACTTCACGTTCCATGAAAGTTCGTTGGAATCAACATCAACATCAACATCAGTATCTGCATCAGATCTTAAAACTGGTCCTAGCGACATTAATACTCAGCCCTCGATTTCAGAATTTGTGGACATCAACTCCACAACCTCAGGTTCTCCATCTCCTACGCGCTCTTCCACACCGTCTTCATCCATCCCTCCTTCGCCTTCAACACCATCAACCCCCTCATATGAGGATGCCATCGTCCCAGTTGTCGCTTGCTTCAACTGCAAGCGATCCCATATCAAGTGTGACCATGGAAGACCATGCCAGAACTGTCTCAAGCATCCCTCCAAGGCTTCGACCTGTCGTGATGCAGTTCCAAAACCTCGAGGACGACCCAAGGGTGGTAGCAAGACCGCTGTGAGTGATGCAGCAATGATAGCAGCCAGGCTTCAACATCAAGGGTATCAACCCCTCTCTGGAAATTCCTTCCTTCCTCTTCATGGCCAACCAGAGCAGCCATACCGACCCCGAGCCATGTCATTCCCCCATATTTCTCCGGCTCAACAGGGAGGATATCCTGCTACGACGATGCTGCCTCAGCATGAGCATCAACAACGAGAGCTACTCTTGCAGCACCAAGAGCAATATCAACGCTCACAATTCCCTCAGTTATCGGGTCCATCTCTTGAATATCGTTCTCATCATCCTCATCAAGCAGGCCATTCACTTTCGCCCCCCCATTGGAGCCACAGTGCCCCTCCTACTCCAGGTGTCCCAGAGATGTCTGGTCCGTCCATGGGTGTTGTTGAGACTGGGCATCCAACCAGCGCTGGTCCGCAACTGATGTCTTCAGACGGATATAACAACGCCCTAGGGCTTGATGCATATGAATATGAGCAGCTTCAAAAGCATCGCCAGCAGCATCAACAGCATCAAGAGATGGAGAAACAACGCAATGGGGTTGCACAAGAGGTACCTATCCCACATGATGTCGCAATGGCTCACTCTCTGAGCGATCACTACAGCAACTCCAGAGCATCGATCCGGCATTTCCATACAGAGCACCATGAGCTACTGCAGATGCAGCGACGACAGCATCAATATCAGAGACCACGCCCACACCCAGGTCATAGTCTCACACTGATGATCCCAAGCATCACAAACGGTCGATTGGTGCCAGCAGGTACCACAGTCTCTAATCCTGCTACGCCTGCTTCTTCCTTTCCGGTCTCCCCAGGGTTCCCACAGTCACCAACAGCGATGCTTCAGCCTCCGCCGCTCTCACCAGCACAGTCGATTCAGTCTCCAACACAACCTTATCATTCCCTTCATCCTCATCATCATCCTCATCACCATCCCCATCAACAACAACAACATCATCACCATCCTCATCATCATGTACTTCATCCACTTCAGGCCCAGAAGCCTTCATATACCCATACGCCCATGTCTCCCATGTCTCCCATGTCTCATGGCCCTGTGATGCCCAACGATGCCACTGCCAATGTTGGTATCAGTCTGGCCCAACTTAAGGAACAAGAACTAAAGATCCAACAGGATTTGGAGATGCATGAAAAACAGAGTCTGCAAAAGCAACAAGAGCTCGTCCGTATCAAGATGCAGTTGCAACAACAACAACAACAGTTACATTTGCAGCATCACCAATACCAACAACAACAACACCATCATCATCACCACCACCATCATCATCAGCTGGTAATGCAACAGCAGCATGAGAAGCAAAATCGACTTCGGGGTCCTCGCCGGTCCTCGCTTCAACTTGGTGTGACTCCAGTAGGAGCTTTGACTCCCATGACACCTCCGACACCTTTGACAAGCATATCTGAACCATTGTCACCTATATGCGATGTAGATATGATGTGAATGGGAAGTGACTGATATACATATTGCACAAATATACATGTATAAAGAAAAAACAAAAAAAAAAAAAAAAAAAAAAAAAAAATAGATAGACTTTCATATTTTTTATTTCATTAATTACTGTCATAGACATTTTTTTTTTTTCTTTTTCTTTTTTGTTCTATACCACTTTTCATCCTTTCTTTTCTTTTCTTTTTTTTTTTTTTTTTTTTTTTTTTTCTTGCTGTTATTCTTTACTATTATTTTATTTTTATTTAAATTCATAATTTTCTTTTTTTTTGCTTTTATCATTTTGACACAGAGCTTAAATAAAAACGTTAATCTAATATATAAAAAATAAAAAATATATAGTCAATCAGATTGTATCACATCACTTGTAAAGAAAAGCGCTTACTGCTGTGTTGCCCAACATTTCAAATCGGAGCCGATATTTGTTACACACATTCAGGATGTGTGAAGAATGGACTAAATAATTAAATAAACAATTAGCAATATGGCAATGATATCGGTTTATTTGCAGTCTAAAAAGAAAGAAAAGAAGAAAAAGAAAGCATAGCTATTACGATGGACTATGTAGTATATCAAATATCGAACCAAATTCATCACATTTAATTCCATCCGAGGGCAAGTGCTTGCGCTCGCGCATCCCAGTCACTTGTGCGCATTTCTTGGCGATATCCCGTAGGAGCCTTTAACCATGCATTATCTCCAAATCCCTCCTGCGTCTCCTTTGATGGCGAAACAGGTTCTTTGAATGGCTTATTTGTCGAGCTAAATGAAGCAGGATAGTCATCTCTGCTATGCCTGTCATCGCGTGGAGCCCAATTATTGTTTGATGGCGTTGCGCCTTGTGTAGGCTGACTGTCATGATTGGTTCCATTCGAGTAACGATTGTTGATTGATGCCTTTTCAAAGGAAGGCACCAAATCATCAAGTGGATCCATATTACGACCTCCTGTTCCTGTTCTTTGGGAAGAATTATATTCATTGCCCGCATCTGAATTACGATTCCCTGGTCCTGCTCTCTGGAGAGGTGAATGATGACTATCCATACTCGAGAGACGGTCCCCTAATCCTGCTCTCTGAGGGGATTTGTATCCATTATCTGCATCTGAGTAACGATCCCCCAACCCTGCTCTCTGAGAAGATGAATATTGACTGTCCATACTCGAGAGACGATCCCCTAATCCTGCTCTCTGGGGAGATTTGTAACCATTATCCACATCTGAATAACGGTCCCCCAGCTCCGCTCTCTGGGAAGACGGGTATTGACTGTCCATATTCGAGAGACGATCTCCTAATCCTGCTCTTTGGGGAGATTTGTAACCATTATCCACATCTGAATAACGATCCCCCAGCTCCGCTCTCTGGGAAGATGGGTATTGGCTGTCCACATTCGAGAAGCGACCCCCTGATCCTGCCTTTTGGGAAGGGCCATATTCATTATCTGCTTCTGAGTAACGATCCCCTAATCCCATTTTCTGGGAAGATGAGTACTGATTATCTGTGCCTGAATAGCGATCTCCTAACCCTGCTTTCTGGTAAGATGGGGACTGGTTGTTTGATTCTGAATAGGAAGACTGATATCTATCATGTACGCCCGCGCCGTTATGAGTGTCATGGCCGTTATAACTCTGATGATTCTGTTGTTGTTCCAACTTTAATGTATCATACGTATCTGGGTCCACAAAGTCATTTTCCTCAGATCTATTGACAAAAGAAGGGGGGGGGAGGAAGAGGAAATGTTGTTGTTGTTTTATATATCTGTTAAGCGGACCAAAAAAAAAAAAAAAAAAAAAAAACACGACGTTAAACTTACGATTCTTCCGTAATATACGGCTGCAGGAACTCCGGGACCTCCTGCTCACATTCAATTAGCAGCTTCACCAGATGTGGCGCAATCACATAGTTTCTATCAGTATAGAAGGTCGTAGCAAGACCTGGGTTACCAGCACGAGCTGTGCGACCAATGCGATGCACATAGTCATCGATATCATCACAGAGGTCATAGTTGATAACATGTAGCACGTTTTTGATGTCTAGGCCACGTGCTGCAATGGACGTCGCAATGAGAATAGGGCTCCTGCCTGATTTAAACGCTTCTAAAGCTTGTTCTCGCTCCCGCTGACTTCGGTCACCATGAAGTGAAATACAAGGGAATTTTTGGTTGTAAAGAATGTCGTCCAGATAATCAGCCATGCGTTTCGATCCAACAAAGATCAATGTGCGTGATGGTGGCTGCGAGTATAAAAGATCGACAAGCGTCTGCTCTTTATCGAGCTCATCCACTTTAATGACCTTTTGCAAGATATTCGTTGTGGTGCCTCCAATCCTTCAAAAGAAAATAAGAAAAGATAAAACCTTAGTGCATTCGAAAATAATCAGGTACAGGAGTGACTTTAAACGGCCATGAATAATACCTTCCCATCCGAAGTCTGCAATAATCCTCTTTCATAAAGTCACGCGCCAAGACTTGGATTTGAGATGGGAAAGTGGCGCTGAACATCATCATGTGCAGAGTCTCATCTCGAGGGAGATCGGAGTTGCATAAGATTTCTCGAATAGTTGTTTCGAAGCCCATATCCAGAATTCTATCTGCCTCATCCAATATTAATTGCCTGACTTTATCAAGAGCCACCATACCTCGCTCCATAGCGTCTACAAGTCGACCAGGTGTGGCAATCAAGAGGTCGCATCCTTGTAATAGTTGTTCTCTTTGAATTCGCAAGTCCGCACCACCATAAATGACTACCGGACGAATACGGCTCATGTATGTGAACTATAAAAAAAAAAAAAAAAATCAAGACCAAAGACTAAAAGATATATAATAAAATGTGGCATTAAAAAAAAAAGTGGAGGTTTTGGGAGCCTAAATGAACAACTTACTCGTCTTGCTTCATCGAATATCTGTATGCCAAGCTCACGTGTTGGAAGAAGAATTAAAGCTTGAGGCGAAGCTTTGGTCCATCGTGCTCCAGGACGAGGGCGTGTTGGTGAACTTGAACGAGCAATCTTTGAAAGGATTTTTGACAACACCGGGAGTAAAAAAGCAGCAGTCTTTCCCGAACCTGTCTGAGAACAGGCCAGGAGATCGTAACCTGCCATTAACAATGGAATTGCATTTTTCTACATTATATGTTTGAATGTAAAAACCAGTTGAGCAAATTTTAGCTTTTTTTTTTTTTTTTTTTTTTTCATCTCACAAAAAAAAAGGAAAAGCCTCTTCTTTCAACTTGCCTGGATAGGCGTTGGAGCTACATATTTCATCCGCCGGATATTATCCATAATAGTTGGATGAAGCCCTGCTTCCTCAAACTAGAATAGCATTCGACAATACAAAGTAAAGTTTGATGGGTAAGCGACTAGTTTTTTTTTCTTTTTTCTTGGCGCAGTAGATTTCCAATTCATACACTAGAGATAGGAGTATGCCTATCTGGGCCACCCTTGCGGCGCACGCTAATCCTGCTGTATTTATCGAAATGAACCCCAGCTTGGACACGCCTATCATCGCCAAATAGCTCTGTTTCAAGTTCAAGGTCAATGGGTGCAGAGCCTTCAGTGAACTCCTCCTTCCATTCATAAACAGGCTTTTGGCATGCCCAAAGACCATTATAGTCCTCAATCTTAGGAGGATCCTCTGGTCGAAACATTATAATGAGTAAATTGTAAGACACGAAAATGAGTGGTGGGAATAGGTTTTGTTGAGTTTGTTTAATTAGCAAAAATAAAAAGAAAAAAATAGAAAGAAATAAAGAGGGCGCCTTTGTATGTTTGTTTGTGTGGGAAATACTAAGAGTCTGAATGTGCACAATGAGTGTTGCTGACAAGGCGCAACAATAAAAAAAATGGTCAGTTTCTCTCTCTTTTTTTTTTTAATTAGTGACTGTTAATTACAAGACCTTTTAAGTTAGAGTCCGCGAGTCAAATTCAGGTAGGTGACGGTGGAATCAGTCGTAATGAGACCAATTGTTATCCTAACAAATTTTGGGAAATATTCACGTTCAATTTTCATCTGTCAAGAATCAAGTTAATACCACACTCTATCATCAGAATGTGGATAACACTAAACGTACTTTGATTTCGCTGCATCTTTCAGTCGCAGGTCCTGTTCCTGTTGTAGAGCATCGAACAAAAACTCCATTTTGGCAACTGACCATTCCTCGGATGTATGCGCGGGTAAAATCATGTATTGGAGGCCCTGCAAAAAAAAAAAAAAAAAAAAAAAAAAGTTCAATCCTATTTTGCCCCAAGTTCAGAAGCTGCTTCCTCTAAGCCTCTTTTTTTTTCTTTCTTTTTTACATTATCAGGATGCGTTCCTTCAATTAAGCATCTTCCAAGCAAGGGCGCTTTAATAACATGCACGTTCTCGAAATCCTTGGCTAACAGTTGCATTCATAAAAAGTATCCCGATTCATATGATCGAAAAAAAAAAGTTAATTTCATTCGAGTTTGCTCAAGATAATACATGATTGTCAAACAAACTTTGGACAGATTTTTTTGTTTACCCTGAGTAAGATCTAGATAAATCTGGAGCAACTGTTCAGCGTGATCCGGAAACGATAAACATTCTTCTCTTATTTCATGAAACTGTTTTACAAGTGGAAGAAATGCAAACGTTCATATTAGTACAGTAGGAAGGCTCGAACTTTTAGTTTCCAAGTTCTATAGGAAAACTAACTACATGTCATCAACATGTCATGAGGGTAACTAAATTATTCTCCCCCGTACCTTTGGATGCAATGCAAGGCACTCCATGATTCTTTGCCAAAAAGATTTGAATCTTTTTAATTATTTTATATAAATTATATCACATGACCAACCAAGGATTGCTGGCTTTTGCTTTCATTTAGTTCATTGACATCCCTTTTTTTTTTTAACATTCAACCATCACATCAAATCATGACTCGCGCAACTGAGGCTGCTACCTTCTTTGGTATCACCGCGGCTATATACTTTGCCCTGTTATTCCAGTGGCTTCCCATTACCCTGCCCAAGACCGTTCAGGAATTCACTCTCCCTGTTGTACGACAAAAAAAAAAAAAGACAGCCCCCCCTGTCATCATTTCTCTTTTCAATGCAGGCTAGAATAATGAAACATACGACGCGCTCAAATTCATAAACCAATATTTCTTTAATCCCATGTATCGTATTAAATAGCTTCCTTGGTGGGCGCTGGTCACCTTCGGCGCTTACAGCCTTGGTAACATTGGATATCATGTCCTGACTTTCCGTGATTGTCCTGAAGCCTATGTTGAGCTACAAACGGTATGTTTCTTTAGAGGCAGCATGACACTTTTTAAATTTTCAATTTAAGATCCATCCCTAACGCCACCTTAATTTCCTATCAACACAGCAAATTTCGCAAGCTCAGAATGATTTGAGGAGCAAAGGCGTCACAATTTGAACTCCCATTTACCATGCAATGTCTTTTTTTCCTGTCATATAATAAAAAAAAAATAAAAATAAAAAAGTTTACATTCCAATTTTTTTTTTTGTCTGAACGGCAAGAATGTCTTTAGTGTAAATTATATCGCAAATATACAGAAAATAAAGTGAATGAAAGCAGATAAGATCCAGAATCATCTGGCAAGGATCCTTTTTTTCTTCATTTTTTTGTTGATGGATGTGTGCCGGAAAAAAAAAAAAAAAAAAACCAAATGTATCTTCTGATCCAGGCTGTGGCTGTAACTGCGGCTGTAGTTGTAGTTGGAGTTGTAGTTGCAGCTGCTACAGCCCAATTCCAATTGTGGTTTGTCTCTCTCATTTTTATCTTTATTCTGATTTTTTTTTTTTTTCTTTAGGCTGCCTTTTTCTCAACCTTCTTCTTGCTCTTGATCATAACCATGGAGAGGAAAGTCAAGACAACTGTCAATCCAAAGACTAAGAGCACACAGGGAATACGGATTGCATATTCGCGTGGAGGGAAATAATCATGAAGGAAGTAGGTCTCATCGACAAAAGGCTAAAATTGCAAAAAAAACAAAGTTAATTTAATCGATCGATCAATCATTAGATAAAGGATACAAAGGTATCAGATCGTTTCTCTAATATTTACCATGACAATCGCCCAAAGGGTATAATAGACAAAGACAACGGTACTGAAAGTCAAGAGGGACGCACCCACGATTTTATCCTGTCCACTAGCCTAGCGTGTAAAATAGATCGCGTTCCAATAAAAAAAAATAAAAAAATATTGTTACTGAATGAACTAAATGAATGCTGCCTGCTTTCCTGAGCTACGGGTGTGGTCAAGAGATGATTGTAATGTTCGTTTATCCCTCCTGAAGCATACCATGGCGACTGTTGGATGATGTAATATCGAATAAAGAAACGAAGTAGGAATGGATGAAAAAATAGAAATGGAGATGGTCCATTAATAAAGTAATGGAACTCTCATGAGACAGTCCCATAAATGAGTGTCAAAAAATTACTTCCATACTAAGAAAAAGCCACAGAAGACAGAGAGAGCCGCTGTCCAGTGTTCGGGTTTTTTTGTGCCGCTCTACGGATGGTCAAAGACATTCATCAATCAAACTTTTAAAAGCTTTAACACGTACACTTCACATACTTCACTATGGCCACCACTGCTGACAGCTGGGAGTACCCTACTCACCGTAAATTCGACAATGTCGTCCCTCTTACTGAAGTTGACCCTAATGACAAGGCCGGTAAGAATCTTTCTCATTCCTTACTACGCCCTGATCACAGATATTTCGGCATTTAGGATGTTTTTTTCAAACCACAAATTGGTTGACACGCAGTTCATTCAGTAATATCGTCCCTATCAACATTCGGAACACTTTATGTTACTGCATTGTACATAATAATAACCAACTAGGAATTGGGATGAAAATTTATAGAATGGAATCAGGACCATCAGTCAGCATTAGCGTTGGTCCGAAATATCAACACTATGGACCACAAATTACCGGCTTTAAGCTCGGAATAGGTTTAGACCAAGATTAAGGCTGCAATTCATCATATGGAACACAATATCACATCTTTTTCTATCTTGGGATATTTAATAATCACTCACAACAATATTATGAACAATTATTTCATAGCTGTTCTCCGCTCGCGCGCTCTTGCTGTCCGCGAATCCTGGATCAATGCCATGGAGGGCCGTATCATTCAAAAGGAATTGAAGAAGTGTCATCGTGCTGAGGGCGTTAACCACTACCAAAACTGCCGTCACCTCGTTGAACTGTACATGAATGCTCTCAAGGAGAAACGTGTCGAGGGATGGAGAAAGGTTGAGAAGCACCATGAGGAGTCTGCATAAAAAAAAAAAAAAAAAAAAAAAAAAGGGAAGAATAAACAAAAAGAAAGATAGAAAGATGATATTCTACGGAAACAACTAAATAGAAGACCAACCTTGTGTCGAATGAAGAAACTCCTTCCAAAGTATTTTCTCGATTTTTTTTTTTCTTTCTTTTTTATTCATCAATTTATCACTTCCTGTTATTCAAAAGAACTGGTCGATTTCAAAAGATGCGGACAAAATTATTTGATTAAACGAGCAGTAGAAGCTAGTGGCAATAATGCACTACATAACCACGCCATAAACTTACAACATGGGACTACAGAAGGACCCATATCGTTTCTAAGGAAGACAGACATAGATACTTGGTAATATCCATTTACCTAGAAACAAAAAAACACCGCATGCATGTAGTGTATGGGCCCATATTTTATTCTCACACTCTTCTATTTACCTATTTGTCTATCCAAAGCCTTTGTACTTAGTACTAGAATTCTGCACTTGTATGGATGATGGGGCAGAGCGATAAAGGATCAAAAAGTAATGAACACTTGGCTGCTATAAGCCATTTTACCCCTGTTATGCTGATGTTTATTTGGTAGTCTGTGTGGCCTTGTGGCTTTGATGACCAGGGTGGAAGTGGCATCCAGCATGTTCTGGATAGTCGCATCGCTTAATGTTATCGTTCCAATGAAGGTTATTAGGGCACAATTTCAGGTATGGAATGCCTCAAAAGCACTTACAATAGGTACGACAGTCCCTTGGGTTTCTGAAGAATCCACTCGATGCGGGACATAGAAAGTGGTGAGTGAATTCGCCTTTTGGTTCTAGATGAGCGTCAGTCCCTGCCGCTACAGTGGCGAGAGGTCGGGTTGCTTCTGTAGCCAGGACAGCTGTAGCAATAGCAGCCATTGGGATGGCATACTTGAGGAGAGTCCAGTTGCAAGCCTTGATGTTGGTAGAGCAGAGCTTTATGACTTTCATTGTTTTCAAGTACTAGGGCAGTTTAGAAATCCGATGGAGGTGAACTTGGATGATAACAATAAAAAAAGAAAAAGAAGCCCATGGGGGTACATATTTATACCCGAATAAGCCAAGGATCACTCTCAATCTCTTCCTACTGGCTTTCTCATCCCTTTTCTCATCCCTCGATATATTATTATACCCTTCAAGTAGGGTTGGGAACCGACTCAAACCTTTAGAGCCTTCTAACCATGAATTTAATGCATCATGATTCTGTAGCCCTTCAAAATCCCTTCAGCTCTCTTCCTTAAAAACTATTAGTTTAAATGGTCGGCTCTTTCCTCGTGATATAAACATGGATAAAACTTTGACTGCAACAGCAAACGATAACAGAATGCCACACAAATACTTGGATAGTAAATATATGAAAATGATTAAAGCCTCGGTTATTTTACTACTGCCAAAAAATAGAATAAAATTTAGAAATAAAGACAAAGTAAACTACATGAAAGAAGAAGATTATTTGGCAACCACAGCATTGGATGGAGGACCAACAGATAGGTAGGTTTAAAACCCGCTGTAGTGGACGTGAAGTTGAAGAGGCGATAGAATAACCGAAAACCAAAAGGCATTGTGTCTATATAAACTGTGACCAAAGGGTAGATTACCTTTGCCTTCGCGCAGGTCGTTCGCTTTCGCCAAGGTCATCAAGGTTCCTGCTACGTTGACAAAACCGAAATATTGAATATGGAGCTCTTCCTTTATTGCTTGGACATGTACTTTGGTTGTATCCTGGGTGATCGCAAATGCAACATGCCTTCGTTTTAGAGACGCTACAGTGACATGCATCTAGTCGCAGATTTTTTTTAGAAAAAAAAAAGGCTGAGAGGGGCGCCAGTTAACATCCCAATAAAGGATCAAAAACAAAAAATAGCGCTGCTATCCTCTTCATCTGTCATTTCTCTTTGGCAGGACAGAGTGATTTAGAACGCGGATCCAGGACTCGGCTCCGGTCCGGTCCCGTTCATATCGCCAGTTCTGTATCAACCCCAGCAAAGTTGATGTTCAGAGATGTAAACAAACGTGGGTTGGTCGAGACACGAGAGAGAGTACGCTTGATTTTATGATAAATCTGACTTAAAATCAAGCGTGGAGTGTATATAAACACATACAAACATGTATATAGACTTTTCCACTGGAAAGAGTTTATAGTAATTGTTAATAGGCGAATCTCTTGTCTCATGACACGGTTTGTACCTGGGATCCCATCAGTATCCAATTCTGCGCTTGTGAATATGCAACGGGTCCATAACAAATGTAAACAAACAATTTGTTTTTTTTCCCATCAATTGCATCAATTGCATCCACCCATGAATATGAAAAGGCCGTTTTGACCATTGTACAACTAGTAGAATATCACTCCCTAATGGATCACAATGTATGACAAAGCTATTGGCATTTCCCACAGTTTTTCACTTTGAAGGTTAAATTTTTTTTTTTCTTTGTTTACACGCGTAACTGCTGGCCACAACTGCAACCATTCTGAATAAAAAAAAAAAAAAAAAAAAAAAAAGAAGTTGTTCTTTTATAAAGCAAACAAGGTCATATATCTAACGAATATAATGAAGAACTGAAAAAAGTCCTGGAAGAAGAAAAAAAAAAAAATCGATGGCGGTGATGGTAGCAGAGAGAGAGAACATGGGGATCATCAACACAAACCAGTAGTGCCATGTACATGTTTGTCTGTTTGTGCACGGGCATTTTAACTTTGTGTTTAATTCAGCAGAAGTTCATGTCAAGGCCCTGAGTGGTCACCTGCGTCTGAACAAATCGTCTCTACGTCTCTAGTGGCGAATGGCGCATTGTTTCTATTCTTGTAACCCAAATGCCATGTGCATGTGTTTACTTGAAAAAGGGTGGTTTGTCTTTTTATTTTTTTATTTTATGCGTACTGTGTATTTTTACTTTTGTGAGCAATTGAAAGGGGTCCTTCTCCCTTCCCGATGCACCATCAGCATCTTTCTGTTCTCTGCTCTTCTTCTTTTTGTTCTCTTTTTTTTTCCTTCATTCTCCATCGGATCATCCTCTTTCCTTCATTCTCATTCCTATACCTTTTACCCTCTCCACTCTCCTTTTTTTTTTTTTTTTTTTTTTTTTTTTCTTACAATAAAAACTTTTCATTCATTGCTTATTTGACTAGTCATCTTATTCTTGAACTCTCCAAAAGAAGAATTTTTTTTTTTTTTTTTAAAAATAGTTTTGATCTTCAAACTCCCCTCCTTCTCTTCCCTCCTTCCTTTCCCTTCCTTCCCCCTTCTCTCTACTTACTAGATGGTGAACCATGCCATGGCTCATGAAGATGATGAGCCGTTGTTACCACTGATGGACCACGACAACACCAGTATTGGTCGCACCAAGGTTTCTTCAGCACAGCACGATTCACAACATCAGGAGGATGATATTGTAAAGTTTTCAAAGTTATCTGGATCAACTGTAAATGATTCTATCATGTCAACATCTTCAGGACCTGAGGATGAACGCTTGGAACACCACCACCATCATCATAGCCACCTTCGCAGCCATACTTCACACTCACATGTACATAAGGATATAGGAAAATCATCAATGTCAACAGAGGATCATCACCATCATCATCACCACCAAGATGATGCTGCTTTTTTTCACGATACGGATGAAGAGGATGAACCTTCATTATTACAATTGCAAAAGAAAACAGAAAGGGACCAAAGACGTCTTAAAATTGCAGTTGCCCTGTGCGGTACTTTTTTCATCATTGAGCTCTTGGGTGCATTGTGGTCAGATTCATTAGCTCTTCTTAGTGATTCTTTCCATCTCTTATCTGGTAAGAAAAAAAAAGAAAAAAAAAATCCAGCAATTTTTTTTAAGGTGGACAATGCATACTAATAAACTTCTTTCTATTTTATCTTCTTTTTAATCACCTATCATCATAATAGACATTGTATCATTTGCGATCTCATTGGCAGCCATCTATCTCTCTCACCGTCCCTCAACTGCTGTACATACATTTGGATATCATCGAGCAGAAGTATTAGGTGCACTTTTCTCCATCTTCTTGATCTGGGGCTTGACATTAGCGCTGGTTGTTGAAGCATACGATCGAATCAGGAACCCAATTAATATTAATGGCAAGACCATGGCTATTATTGCAGGCTTAGGCGTCTTTGTGAACATCATGTAAACCACCATTCCCTCATTTGTCCTTCCTTACAACATGGATGAATGATAGAAAGGAAAAAAAATACTGATTAATATTGTTTTTTTTTTTTTTTTTTTTTTTTTTGCGCTTATAGTTTGATGTTCGTATTAGGCGGACATCACCATCACCATGGAGACGATCATGAGCATGGACACTCGCATGGATTTGGACATAGCCATACACATCAAGGGCATGTACCTCTTCAAGCTGTAGGAGAGCACGATCATGATTTGGATCCCCTCACTCACAAATCACACTCACATCATGAGCATGATCATGATCACAGCCATAGCCATAGCCACGACCACGGCCACTCCAATCATCATCACCACGTCAATCTAAATATCACTGCAGCAACACTCCATGTCTTGGGTGATCTTTTATCATCCATTGGCGTCCTTATCTCATCGCTTTTCATCACCTTCTTTCCAGATTGGACCTATCTGGATCCGATCTGTACATTTGTCTTCTCAATCCTCGTGATCGGAACCACTTTGGGTGTCTTTAAGCGATCAGTCTCTATTTTGATGGAGAGTGTACCCCGAGGCATGGATTCTGAAGAGATCAAAGAGGCCATCTGTGATGTTCCTGGAGTTTTGGAAGTCAAGACGTTATATGTATGGTCCTTGACTATTGGACAGGCTGCTCTTGCTGGTGAAATTTATTTACAACCAGAGATCAAGGACCTACGAAAAGCTGCTGCTATTGTCACTACTGTACGGAGGATGATCAAGAAACGATATGGGATTAAGAAATGTACTATCCAAGTAGCATTGTACACACAGAGGGCCTCATCATCATCGCTTGCGAAACACGGTACTGTCACTGCCACTGCTACTGGCATTCATAATGGTGACAATAGTAGTGGCAGTGCTCATTCAACGACTAATTTGCCGGCAAAGCATGACCATGATATTATTTTTTCAATCGAAGATGAGGATGAGGATAATAACAATAACAACAACCCCTTTACTCATCCTGGTGATTCAGAAAACAAGCATCTTTATACGCACTCACATGTCTTTTCACACGAAACTACACGTGCAGGGACACCTCTAAGTCAATATCGCAACAATCGTCACAAGCTCGACAATGGCGATGATGAGAGTGAAACAGAAATGGAACAGGAAACACCCCTACGTACAGAGTCTACTCGATGGTCTTGAGTTTCAGTCTTTTTAAATATTACTTTTTTTTTTTTCTTTTTTTCTTTATCATTGATCATCATAATAAATACTATTACGAAATAGAATAACAAGGGCAGGGTTTATAAATACAGATTTGTTGTTTTGCACTTGGATAACGTAGAATCAAAATAATAATAATAACGGACGAAAAGAAATAAGGCATATGTGAATAGAAAGCATTAGGTGACAAGAGAAGAAGAAGAAGGGAAAAAAAAAAAAAAAAAAAAAAAAAGTCAAGGTATATGAAATTAAGTAAAAGAGGAAAAAAAAAAAAAGAAAAAAGAATGAGAATAAGAATAGTGGTTGGAAGGTAAACAGATTACTTGAATAGACTCGTAAGCTTTTGAATCAGATTACGGTGCTCCTTGCCTCCACCATGATTGCCATTCGCGCCTCCTGACCCGTGTCCAGGGCCATTATGGAACGGGCCATAGAAACTCTGGCTGTGAAGTTGGTTGTATCCATAGCTGCCTGTACCATACAGGGTTCCTTCTTTCAACGTTACTTCAGGTCGAGATAACACCTGTAGACAGTCATTGTGGCCCAGGTCCTTCGCTAATGTCAATGCTTGAAGTAATACCTTGGGTGTAATCACATAGATTGGGTTTGAGCCTCCCACCATATTAGGATTAGCACTGGCATTGGTGAACGAGCCCACATGACCACTGCCACCTGGGAGTGTTGCCAACTTTGGAGACCCTACACTGTCTGCTGCATTGGCACGTTGGCTCATGTATCCAACCAAGGCTGCTGACCCCGGGGAAGATTGAGCTGAGGACGGTGAAGGGATTGATGGTGGTGTTCCAGGACCACCTACGCCATTTCCTGCAAACGGCATAGGCACAGATGCTCCATGTGGTATATTAGGGATATTGATGTTGGTACTACTGCCATTGTTGGTAGTAAAAGACGATGCAGATGAATGATGCAGAAATGAGTGTTGAGGCCCGAAAAAAGACTGCGAAGACTGTGTTGAAGATGGAGAAGGCGACGGTGAAGATGATGTTGCTGCTGCTGTTGCTGCAAAGCTAGTTGGGGCATAATAGAATTTGAGTAGTAGTCTAACCAAATGGACTTTATCATCATTCACTGCTTCCCATAAAGGATCGTTGAAATAGCTAGTCGTAGTGGCTAGAGCTGTGAGCGCGTTGTTATTGGTGTTGCCATTCGTAATGGCTCCAACTCCATCCATCTGTCCTAATCCTATGCTCTGTCGCCGATCTCTGCCCCAAATCAAGTGGGGATTTGCTCCATAAGCCATCAAAATTTCAACCTCTGCCCAAAGTTCGCGTTCGACTGCGATCGATAGCGGTATAACTCTTTTGTCATTTGCGACACAATTGACATCTGCCTTATTCTCACACAAGAGATGAACAACTTCTTCTGCTAATGTATCACCTTTGGTCATGAACAGCAACACAACGTGCAAAACCGATAGGCCGCGTTCATCGTGCACATTCGGATCTGCTCCCTGAATAAGCAGCTGCTGCGCTGCCTTCCATGAGCGGAAGCGCACCGCCGTATAAAGTGGACTGATAGGAGATCCATGTTCTAGACGAATATCTGGTGCATTCAGTAGAAAAACAAGACTGGCTTGTGAGTGTGCAATGATCGCCAGGTGCAACAACGAGTTTCCGTTTGCATCCACAATATTAGGATCGCCCTTCTGAGCTAAATATAACTGAAGAATTGCATCCTGGGCTGGCCTATCCTGAAGAGCCCGTATGACTTGTTCTTCCGTCACTGTAGGTGACGTTGCTCCATTATTGTTGTTGCTATTACTGCTATTGTTGTTGTTTCCATTCCGCTTTCCATCATTTAAGCTCTGAATACTAGTACGATTAGGGTGGGGATTAGTGCGTGAAGATTCTGTTCCTGAGAGTGGTGATCTCGCTGAAATGATGGGGGGCGATGCTCGATGGCTTTGTCCAGGAGCAAAAGGCGAAGATGTGGGTGACCCTGGTAGTTTGATGGTGGAAGTTGAACTATTTATACTGCTGCCATTGGTATGGTACTGTAAAAGATGACCACTTGAGTTTTGGTGACTATACAAAGCGTTATAAGGGCCCGTGCTGCCGTTACTTTCTTCTCGTTGTCGAGAAAGTTTAATGAGACCAATGTCTTGTGCCGTTGGAACAAGAGGGGAGCTTCCATGCCTCTGTTTTGACGGAGAAGAAACTGAAGCAGCAACAGCTCCTGCTAATGTTGCCCCTCCTGATGCTGCGGCCAAAGACTCCAAGACAATGGCAGTGACAGGCTTAGCAACGGAAGCTGGGAACGCACCCACTGCAATGACAACTCCTGCATGATCGATCTGCTCCCCGAGGACCCAGCCGTCATCAAAGACATGAATGAGTCGCACTTGATTTCCTGGTCGAAGCGTCAATTCATCCTGAGCTGTGGCATTGAAAGGATGGACGATGCTTAATCGGCCACCTGGTTCTGTTCCTGGTATTGTTCCTGAACGAGCAGCCACTCTGGTAGCAGGGACATAACATTGACTTTCTAAAGAGCAATACTGTAAAGGAAAGAAACCATGCCGTGCGCTTGTCCGTTTATCAGGCCTCATGACTGAGCCTAAACACCATAGATCATCGAATTCACGGCTAACTAACAGAATATCACCCTTTTTGAACGAAAGTTCATCATGCTCTCGTGCAATGTAGTCCCACCAGGCATAGTACTGAGCTACATATTGAAAAGAGGATGGCCTTCCATTGATCTTTGGACTTGAACTAGTGTTGTTCATTTTGGCATGCAGCTGTAAAGGAGGTGGGAGTGGAGTTGACGGCGAATAAGTAGCATTTTGACGGGACGTTGGATCTATGTTCTTTTGGCTAGCGTTGTAAGAGTCTGCAAGGTTGGTATAGGATGAGTTGGGAGAATAACTGGTGGTTGAAGCGGAGGTGACTGGGGCTAAAGCCAGGTTTGATGATGACGATGCTGGACTTTGAGTTGTTGGGAGAGCAGAAGTAGACAAGTTTTTATGTCGAAAGAGTCCAAAAGGCGTTGTTTCCTGACTGAGTGGTGACCGTGCGGATGGCTGATGAACGTTGTAAAACGGAACAGGCGTCGTACTGGATGCTGGTGAATTGCCCACAGTCCCAATATTAGCATTGTTTGCAGAGCTGCTACCTGTGCCACTTGAAGTTGATACTGGTAACCGAGGCCGCTGTGGTTGCATCTGTGGACTGGGTATCATGCTTAGCTTTTTTGTTTATGACTCAGTGTGGCCGAGTGATTAAAAGGTGCGTGAAAAGAGAGAAGAAGAAATAAAAAAATAAAAAAAAGGAGTAGAAGGGTGCTTTGATCTGCTTGACCTTTTCAGTCGTAGGTCAAATAGTGCGTTGGTGAAGGTGGTTATCCACGTCGAGCAACGAGGCTCATGGCTGGAGAGACAATATGGCCTAATTGCTTATGTCTCCCCTATTTTGCAATGATGATCCTGTATGCACTTGGGGATGTCCTTGAACTTTTTGTCACACTCTCAACTGCTTCTGTTGATTCCTGGTCCGATGCTCTATGCCACTGTTAGCCTATGTCTTTGTGTTGTTGATGTGATAAGCGTCAGCAATATTTAGTCCTTGCGCGGAAGATCAAGTCTAGTAGAAGGACTAGCGGAAATGGGGATGAAAGGCTAGAAGGAATGATAAACGGTCCAAAACAACAATAATATTAATAATTGCAGTTTTGTGAGTGTGAGATGCAGATATTGTGTTTACATAACCCGTATGACATGGTTGTCTAACCATTTCTCGACAAATGGTGTCTCTCCCTCGCACAAGCACACACACTCACGATAGACATGTCAGCCAATGGCTCAATCACCCTCCTTTTTTTTATATGTCCGCGTCGTCATAGCAACCACTAATTGGCAGTTGTCAGTTGACAAAGTTCGGTCTTCACTGAGAGCAAACAAGAAAGGGGGGATAGAGAGAAATACCATGGCAGAAAAGGAGAGGGTTACAAGAAAAGGGGATTATAATAGCAATTACATAAAAAAAAATTAAAAATGAGGAGAGAAGGAAAGGAAGAGAAGGGACATGCGATGAAAAAGGCTTCATTGCCATCGAAAGAATAAAGAGTGTATGTGTGTGCATTGTGTGATTATAATTTTTTCTGTTCCATTGCTTTTAAATTGTTTTTTATTATTATTACCAGCTGTGATTTATTTTCTTTTTTAAGCGTTGAGGCAGAAGAGCAAAGAATGAGAGGCAGAAATAGAGCGATGGAGGCTGAGGCTAATGAAGACAAAGAATGAATAAATAAGAATAGGTAGTGAGGAAAGAGAAGGAATGAGCAATGTAGAGTAATGTGATTGGCAAGGATCGTTAAGAAAACGCTGTGAGAGAAAGTGTGTGTATGAGTGAGTGAGAATGAGTGAGAATGAGAATGAAAATGAGAATGAGAATGAGAGAGAAAGAGAATGACAGTAGAGAGAGAGCAAGAGAAAGAAATGAGGAAGGAGCATGCAAAGAGATGAGGGGGTAAGGAAGGGGAAAGGAGAAAAAAAAGGAACAAGAACAAGGAGCAAGAGCAAAAAAAAAAAAAAAAAAAAAAAAAAAGAGCCAGAGTTGAGCTGGTTTTGAGGGTTGTTGTGTTCGATAGGATAGAAACAAACAAAATGTAATTACTACAGCGGAATGGCCATGGCCCACAGTCCTCTTTTTACCTTTACATCTTTGTTGGATGTGGTCAAGAGCCAACATGTCAGCTCTTGCTTACTTGCTTTTCATTCCTGTCTCCCTGGATTTGGAAGAGGAGTGTGCCTTTTTCCGATTTCTCTGTATCCACAACCATAACCAAAACCGTTGAAAATGAAAAATGGCCTGATCTCATGATACCATGTTTACAAACATGTGCAAAAGTCCAACATCTGGGATTGCCACTCAACCAAGGTCGACTTTCGATCAAACCAAAACATAAAATGACATCAAAATGTTTCCTCATATCTATTCTCGTCCTCTTTGATCACCCATCCAGGAAACAGCAAAGCGTTTGACACTAGTACGTACCAATTACTACGAGATTATGTACCAATTTCGAATACTAATAGAATCTTAATGTACATCGTTTTCTATGTTTGCCACTTCCGGACATGACACACAATAGGTAATAAGCCGGATGAGCATTTTATTCGTGGCCAAGATACGTCCACAGGGCGCGTCTTCCTGAATGATTTAAAAAAAGAAAAAAGCTCATGTGGCTTTGAATAAAAGAGTTAGACGGCGGCGCGGTTGTTTAAGCTCTTTTCCTTTTTTTATTCATTATACATATTCTTAAAAAAAAAAGCTCTCAGCAAAGCCAAGTTATTCCTCGTTAATCTCTTCCACTGCACCATTATGTCGGGTCAGATCTGTACCTTCTTCCAACAAGGAAGATGTAAATTTGGTGACCAATGCCGAAACATTCATCAAACAGGAACACGATTTGGAGGCGGTTTTACAAACAACAATTCTTTTAGCGGTAAGCTTCTTCCTCTATTCACACTTTCTGATTCCTTTTAATGAACGACAGAATCTTACTCATATGTAACTCTTTTTTGTCCCTTTAACAGCCTTGAGCGGAAATAGCGGTGGAGGCGGTTTTGGTAGTGGCGGTGGCGGTTTTGGACAACAGCAGAAATTTGGTAGCGGTGGCGGATTTGGTAACAACCGAAATTCCGCTTTTGGGACCGCTGCCGGTGGTAATGCCGCGGGAACAAATACGGCAGGAACTAAAAAGATTGCTTTCGAGTAAGTATACAAAAGCAACCTTAAATATTTTATTCCATGAGCAACAATGGAAATATGTTTTTTTTTTTTTTTTTTCTAATACCCTCTCAATTCCTATTTCTATCTTTTCGAAACGCCTTGATTAGTGCAAATACAATCCTCAACGATCTTATGAATGACAGGCCTATACATCAATTTTCGTCTTATGGTCCAGGAAAAGAGGAACCCAACTTGATCCCTGGAAAGGATTTGCAACCAGAGGAACTTCGGCTGATGTACTACGAAGCTCAGAACCCAGCATTACCGCCAGCGACAGGAGATTACTCTGGTCTCATGGCAGCTGCTACAGCAGCCGGAACAGGGCCGGCGGGGATGCAGAATGCATTCATGCAAAAGCTTCAACAATTGACCGTGAGCATGGATCAAGAAATCCAAAAGATTGCCAAAGACCCACAAGGCGCCTACAATTATTTTATGAATAATATTCGGCCTAGTGGAGGCGGCACCTTGCCTTCCACTTCAACCTCAGTCTCAACCTCAGGAGCTGGAAATAACGCATTTGGAGCTGGCGCTGGCGCTGGAACCGGGACGTCCGTATTTGGTCAGCCTTCAGCGTTTGGCCAAAATTCTGCTTTTGGACAAACATCAACATTAGGACAAAATTCGGCGTTTGGTCAGACATCAACCTTGGGTCAAAATTCAGCGTTTGGCCAGACATCAACGTTAGGTCAAAATTCGGCGTTTGGTCAACCCTCTGCATTGGGACAAACCTCTGCCTTTGGTCAACCATCGTCCTTGGGGCAGAGCTCTGTATTTGGTCAAACATCAACTCTGGGACAACAGAACTCTGCATTCGGCCAGACATCAACTTTGGGAGCAGGAACAGGGCAGAATTCTTTTGCCGCGGCAGGAAACTTAAGCAGTGCATTTGGCACTGGTGGGAATAGCGGTGGATTTGCAGGAGCGACAGGTCAGAGTGTCTTTGGTACAGGAGGAAATGCGTTTGGAACACCCTCTGCACCACAGACTACAGCCAGTGGCTTTGGGACTGGATCAGGATTCGGTCAGCAGTCAGCCTTTGGAAACGGTGGAGCTGCACCAACAAGCAGCCCATTTAGTGGATCGGGTTCCTTGGGAGCTTCCCAACAACAACAGCAGCAGCAGCAGCAGCAACAGTCTCAAAATGCTTTTAGCCAAGGAGGCAATAGCGTGTTTGGAAATTCTGGCAACTTTAATGCATTTGGACAGTCGGCACTAGGTCAAAGTCAAGGCCAAGGCCAAGGAGGGGCTTTTGGAGTAAACGCTGGCAATTCCGGTTCTACAAAAAAGGAAAAAGAATCAACAGTGAATGATAGCACACTCAAAATGGTCCAGGCAACAGGGATTAAATTCTCTGTCAAGGGTGAACCATTAACCCCAGAAGAAGTTGCTGCATACAGGGCGCCAGCTTTTGAGCTTAAGTGCATTCCAGAACAAGAGCCACCCGTCGAGCTGCGGTGAAAATCGCTATCAACAACTGTTTTATTTTTATTTTTGCTTCGCTTTCTCCAAAATTCTGCATATTCTCTTTTTACACCATTGTATTGTACATATTATCCCCCAATAAAAGACAAAAAAAAACAACAAATAAAGTAACAATAAAATAAAGCGAATTGGCGTATTAGTTGTCTTCTTTGGGATCGAGTTCTGTTCCAACAACAAAGAAATTGCCCTTTACTCGCTTGGGTCTCTTGAGTAACATGTCTCGTCTTGTCAAAAGTTCTTGTTCATTCTCTTCATCGTTATGTGCATTGTGTGACCCATGCGGGTGGAGGCTCTCTGATGTTGATGATACCGGTGACGGGCGGAGCCGTAAGCCCACGCCATCATCAACCAAAGACCTCAAGTTCTCAACAGGAGTGGTTTGATTATGTTGGGATCCATCGGTGGATCGGATATAGTTTAAAAAGTTACGCATCCGTCTCACATCTCTCTCAAGACGTTTCAACTCCTTTGGATCCTGAGGTTTACAGAGATGAGCGAGTTTCAAAAGTCGATCGATAGTCTCTGGTGTGATGTCGTTGCTATGATCATCGGTCGTGTTGAATGCATCGCGTTTTTCCATGAGAGTTTTAAGGGACCAAGAAGGAGTTGAAGGCTAGATATTTTAATAAAAATAACAATGTTTTAGTAATCATACACAAGGTTTTTTATTTTATTTTTTTTGAATACGATGAAGAAAGCACTTACGAGCTCAGGACATTCAGGCTCATTAGATACAGAAGCATCACTCTTCCCATCTGCGCATGAATATGAGCGTTGTTGCTGTTGTTGTTGCTGTTGCCTTCCCAGAGATACTGTCACCCCTGCTAAACGTTGTAATACATAATGATAAAATCTTTTGTTAATGGCGTGCTGGATCAGTTTTTATTACATTATTATTATTTCTAAGGTCGTTTAGAGCGCCATACCAAAGTGGACATGGCGCGTAGTACCAAGAGTCCTGGTGATGGGAATGCTGTAGAATGAGCCTGTCCTGGCAAAAATCCCTATTCTGCGCATGCTTTTTCCGGAGGAAAAAAAATAAAAATAAAATGGTTAATTGAGGGCTCGATGCAGCAATCACTTCTGGTCAAAGTTGTGACTGTATTACATCCACAAAGAGAGGAAATTGTTAAAAAGCTTTCAATTTTGCCACTTCTTTTTCTTACCTTTGCTCAAGACGCCAACGTTACAATATTCAACATGGAACACATTACTGAAGGTCAGGAAGAAAAAGAGAGAAAAAAAAAAAAAAAAAAAAAAGTTAAATCACATGGCAATCTCTACATGTGGGAATTATCATTTGAATTCATAGTCTTACGCGTCATGTCGTGTCTATCTTGATTTCGCTATGCAGATGAGGCCGCACTCTATGACCGCCAGATTCGCCTATGGGGACTTGAAGCTCAACATAGGTAAATAATAATAACAATAATAAAGATTACTGGTTACTGTCGAATATTTATTTATTAATCTATTAATTTTTATTTCTGATCCAAATTTCGCTTGTTTAATAAAATCTGATAAGGATGAGAAACGCATCCATCTTGATCGTAGGGATTCGTGGCTTAAGCAACGAGGTCTGCAAGAATATTATCTTGGCTGGTGTAGGATCAATCACATTGCTGGACCATGAAATTGTAACAGAGGAAGATCTTGGCGCTCAATTTTTAATTCGTCAAGAAGACATTGGCCGTAATGTGAGTTTATTATTATTATTATGTGTCTATTTCATTTGCTGTTCTGATCAGATTATTTTAAATGCTGCTCTATTGTATTTAATACGAACCTTTTTTTTTCCCTCCCTTATTATTAGCGAGCAGACGCAGCAGCAGAGAGAGCAAGGCTTCTTAATCCTAGAGTGAAAGTGATAGTGGATCAGGATGACATTGCTCAGAAAGCGGATAATTTTTTTACAGAATTCAATATTGTGTGTCTCACAGGATGTAGTCCTAAGCAGATGGTATGATGAATGTGTTGCTAATACTTCTTTTTTTTTTTTTTTTTTTTTTTTTTTTTCTTATTTTTGTGATGATAATGTTTAATAACATTTACTTATTTATTACTATTACTACTAATACTTAAACCCATAGATCCATATTGATCATGTGTGTAGAAAGTCAAACATTGGATTGTATATTGCGGACGTGCATGGATTTTTTGGATATATTTTTTGTGATCTAACACATCATGAATACTGCGAGTATGTAAAGTTCAATGTTTTGTTTGCTTATTGCCGTTATTTCTCTTCAGACAATAAGAAATACATTTTATTAGAATCCGCATTCAGTTAAGGGTTTTTGTTGATTGATATCTTTATTATTATTATTTCTTCTTTCCTTCCCTATTACATCAATGAACAACAGAGAATCGCAAGAGCCAGCGTCAGAGAAGCGAAAAGAAGCAGAAACTGTTATTAGCAAGAGGAGTCAGGATTATGATAGCTTATTGGACACAATGGAAGCATCATGGGGCAATCCTAAACCAAAAGCATTGCGACGAAAAGTATCTCCACTGCTTTTTGCCATTCAAAGTAAAGAATTAAAAGTGGATACAGAAGCAAATATCTTTCAGATCCAAAAAAAAAAAAAAAAAAAAAAAAAAAAAAAAAAAAAAAGTGTCGGATCAAAATATCAAATGTCGCTCGGGTAATGAAAAGGAAGAAGATACTAATGAATTATCTGCACTCTTTTTTTTTCTTTTTTTTTCATCCCCTGGTCTATAGCGCTATGGTTGTTCCGACAGGAAAACGGAGGTAAACTACCTCAAAGCACCAGTCAGGAAGATTTGGATGCCATGTTTAGGATAAGAGACGAGAGACTCAAATCTGCACAGGTGGACGGAGCCTTTTTGGACAATGAACTGATTCAGTACGTTTCTTTTCTTTTAAGTTCCATTATTATCAACATTACTATTTCTTAAAAAAAAAAAAAAAAAAAAAAACGTATTTATATAAAGAGAAAAAGCGATGGATTTGTTTATTGATTTTCTTTATTTTATTTTTCCTCAAATGTTCCTTCTCCCAAGGACACTTGTCAGTACTGTCTCTGCGGAGATCTCTCCTGTTTGTGCGATCGTCGGAGGATTTCTTGCCCAAGATATCCTGAAGACACTTTCTGGCAAGGATGCTCCTCTACTCAACTATTTTCTCTATAACGGCTTGCAAGGTAAATTATACATAAGAAACGAAAAACAGTATAGAATAATGGACGGATCCATGTCTTCCTTCCTATTAGGGTTCTTTACAACCGTATTAATTTATTTTATTCTATTTTATTTTATTTTTTATTATTAGGAAGCGGATTGGTACATCATGTTCAAAAAGCTAATAAATAAATAAATAAATAAATAATAATAATAATAAATATGGCTATAACCATGCTATTTTCTTGATTTTGGAAAGAAAACTGTTGTGTCCTTTGTTGCTGTTGATTATTTTAACTTTTTGTACTCAACATTGATTTCCGTTGATCAGGAAGAGCAGCAATGGCATAGGCTACTCCATTAGAGATCAAGCTCAGCCCAGTCGAATAATTAGATATGTAAAAAAAAAAAAAAAAAAAAAAAAAAAAAAAAAAAAAAAAAACATGGAAAAATTGCGACGATATAGAGCGGAATGTGGGCGTAGGACTAACGAAGAAGGAGTAAATGATAATCTTTGGAGAAAAGATATGGATCCAGGGGGTGATGGTGGATTGGATTCTGAGCTTGCCTTTGTGCTGGAAGGCTTGAGTTTGAAAAGTAGATCAGAATATTCAAGAGTCTATTTGAACTTTTTTTTTTTTTCTTTGTTAGTGAAGAATGAAGAACGTGTGCTGAATTCACCCCATCTGCGGTGAGAGCGACGTTTAATCATTTACTGAAAAAAAACTTCTTACGATATGCTGTTCCAGTGGCCTGTGCTCAGACTTTTCGGAGTGTCAAGACCTGGTTGTGGTACGTCTACAAGACTACGGTTGTTCCGATGGCTTCTGCTGTTGCTATTGTTATTATTGAAGTACTTCTGCTAATGACTGTCATTGCTCTATTATCGATGTTTGAGCATATTGCATCTGTCTCCCACATAACATACCCATTACAAGTCCTCGTTGCTGTCGCTGCTTTTTTTAATTAAAAGGCAAAACAAGAAAAAGATCTAATCATATTAAACACTTACTATGCAAATCTCACCTGGATTCAGGACGATTTTTTTTTATACTATTATTATTTATTTTTAATTATTTATTTGCTCCATCTCTGCTTTCTAAAGACATCTCTTTGCACTAAGTCTTACTTTTGCATCGAATGCCGGTGAACTGATGATACTGTTGGGCTCGTAAAAAGGATTCAATAAAGTCTTGTTTTAAAAAATACAATAAAGCAAATAAAAAAAAAATACCTGATTAGCGACCAGTTCTTTTTAGCACATCAATCCCCCTTATTCACATTGAAAATCCTAGAATGCAAAGTTAAAAAAAAAATAAAATAAAATAAAATAAAAAAAAAAAAATGTACTTGCTTACTTTGATGTACAGCTCATAACAATCATTGAAAAAGTTTCGAATAGATTCTTCACTCTTGGCATCATGTAATAACAGTAGTTTGATGTTTCCTGCAGTGAGATATGCAGAGATGAACCGCTCATTAAACTTGTCGATTGACTTGAGATACCTATTTGTTGCATGTTTTTGCGATCCCCCAAAAAACACAAAGAATGAGTAAGTAACTCTACAGGCCCTTTTTTTTTTTTTTTTTTTTTTTTTTTTGAGAATTCCCATTATATCACATCATGTCATTTCATGTTCAAACTAGCTTTTGGACATACATTTGGTTGGTGCTCCATTGAATATCTTCAATCATATCCAGTGCTGAGTGGGCAATAAATTGATTCAAGTGGCGAAATTCTTCTTTCTTGTGAAGGAAAGTGTCAAGAAAAAAATAAATAAATAAAAAGTTAAAGAATAAGTATCGAGCATCATTGTTGGATCGTGATAAACCTGATATAATCCTTTTCTTTCCTTACTTTAGCTTCCGGAATACCAGATGTTCCTGAAGATGACCGTGCAGTGGTAACTGAGACAAATTCTGCTTCGTAGATGGGATTGTCTTTGGTACCAATCATTACAAAGTAACATGTCGGTGTGTTGCCATAGCCAAGGGCTGGATTCCCGATGCCAGAACCGCCGCTACTTGACGAAGAATGTGTTGCGTTCATGTGATGTGATTCTACTGTGCCTCAATGTACTTTCTCTGTGTTCTAACCGCTTTTCTCCTGCTCTGGTTTTAATAAAAAGACGCTCCTTGACTGACGTAAGAGTTTGGTTTTGAAGCGTGTTACACCACACGCTGGGGGATTTATAAAAAACGAACTTCACTGTCTCTCTACTCACGTGGTGAACATGAAATGATATGTGCAAAACTGCACTCGCTACAGGCACTGTATTTGAACTGGTAGTCTTTGATCGACCTACTTGATACCATTGTCGTCACCAACGACGCTTCTTTCCTCGATCTCTCTTCCTCTGCAGCTGTCCCTATCTGTTGGTCTTGGTAAGGATCTACTAGATCGGAGGCTGCCTTGGGCTTGGATGACCGCTTATGGTGAGGAGCTTGCTCACGTTTAGCTATAGCTCCACGTTCCACCAGGAGCTTCTTGTTGACTCCATTCAGCTCAGATACGTCTCGAATGCATGCATTATGAGCATAGAGAACTGTTTGTCTCGTGCTCCACTTCAAGTGATAAAGACATTGATCCTCCTCCTGTACAATTCGCCACATCCGAACAGAAGCATCTTGAGATCCTATTGCCAACGAGTAACCATCTGCGGAGACATTCCATACAAGCGCTGTAGCATATCCACCCACAGATGGAATAACAGATAAGCATTGGCCTGACTTTGAGTCCCACAATTGTACTGTCATGTCTTCACTACTTGAGGCAATGTACTTGCCATCTGGCGAGTAAGCAATTCCTGTAATTAAATCGGTGTGTCCTTCCAGTGTATATAATACTGCTCCTGATTCCGTATCCACCACACTAAACCGCCTTTTATTACCCCCGACAGCCATCTGTTGTCCACATGGGGAAAATTCTATCCACTCTTGTCCCCATTCGAATTTTGTTTTGTAACAAGGCTCCCCCGTCTCTGCGTTCCGTACATTCAGCGCCATGTCATGTATAAATACTATCTTCTGGCTGTCAGGCGTATATATGATATAGGTACTACCCCTCGCTCTGCTCTCAATCTCATACAAGAGATTCCCAGATTGAGCTATCCAAACTCTGATCCTACCACCTCTGTCACGCAAAGCAATCTGATGGGCATTAGGTGAGAATACTACACGGATGACTTCTCTACCTTGGCCTTGTAGAGTACGGATAAGTTGCCCTGTTGCCGTGTCCCAAACACTCACGTCTCCTGATTTGTGCCCACAGGCGATTTGGTGGTCAATGGGCGAGAAACAAAAGACGTAGACTTCATCATTCTGTTTATCTCGCAATTCCAAAGCGTGGATGACTTGACCTGTTTGAGTATCCCAAAGGTAAACACACGGAGTACCATGCCGCGTGGCAAGTAATCGGCCATCAGGTGAATAAATAACGTCGAATGCTGCTCCCTCGTGTCTTTGTAGAAGATGTATAGGCCGCCCTGTTCGTATGTCCCACACACGCACTGTACCATCTTCACTGCATGTGGCTAACTGCTGTCTATCCGGCGAGCCCCTGATGCAACTGACCGGCTTCGTGTGGCCATATGAATCATGGCTAGATTGCCGTGCTTGGGTTTCCCAAAGACGTATCGTGCCATCATCACTGAAGGATGCAATCTGCTGACTATCTGGTGAGTATGACACCCAATTTATGTACTCGGAATGACCATAGAAAGCATTGATAAGTTGTCCTGATCGCGCGTCCCAAAGACGCACTGTGCCGTCGCAGCCACAGGTGGCTATCTGCTCTCCGTTTGGTGAATATTTTAGATCCTTGATTGCATCAGAATGTCCCTCAAGAGTATGAATAACTTTTCCTGTCTGCATATCCCAAAGAAATGCTTTTAAATCGGTGAACGAAGCGGCAAACTTTCCGTTGGGTGAATATTGGATTCCTTCGACATAGTTATGATGCTTTAAGACCCGCTTCTTTTGACCAGATTCAACATCCCACACACGTAGTGATTCAGATATGCAGCGAGAGATAATTTCTTGACCAGTAGGTGAATACACAACTTGTACAACTCGGGATTTATGGCCCTCCAACACCAGTATCTGTTGCCCTGATGTCAAATCCCATACCCGCAATGTCTTGTCAGAGCCACCGGCTGCGATCTTTTTTCCGTCTGGTGAGTACGCCACGCTTCTCACACCACCAGTGTGACCTTCTAATGTGTGCTGAAGCACACCAGAACGTGCATTCCACACACGTACTGTCTTATCATCACTGGCGGAGGCGAGATGATGACCATCTGGTGAGTATATTATGCAATAAATCCAACTTGTATGACCCATTAAGCTGTGAACCAATGTTCCTGATGTTGTATCACAAACTAAGATTGTATGCTGATCATTCCAGGAGGCAATGTATCGACCGTCTGGTGAGTATATAAGCGTGTAGACTTCATCATCGTCACACAGAGTCAAGAGCTTTTCCCATGTCGATGTGTCATAGACAACGACCAAGCCACTCTTGATAGCTGCAGTGAGCGTCTTGCCATCAGGGGAATACGATCCTCGGCATACTACATCATTTTCTCTAAGAAGTGGCCATTCACCAAAATGTACACCTGTCATATCTGCTTCACATAAGTCCGCCTCACGAAGCCAACATTTCCGAAGATCGACCTTCCTCAGATCCGCTCCTTGTAACTGAGCATATTCGAATATACCGTGACTAATATTTGCACCAGGGATCTGGATGCCTCGCAAGTCTGCCCCGATAAACGACTCTCCTGCTTGAACCAAGATTGTCATCGCATTAGCTGCTGCTATCCGCCACTTGCCATCACTTTTCGAAAGCTCCACATAATCATACAGCTGCTGTTTGAATAAAGGTTCAAGACGGACGCGATCTTCCAGAAATTGTAGGATAGATGTCTCGTTTACAAAGCTCCTCCATACCAAAGGCGAATTCTCATCTGGTAGGGTCGAATCAATATTTTGTTCATCTCCCCCCATCTCAATAGCTCCAAAACTATATATTGAGCTGATGCTTTGTCTACGCGGAGTTGAAGTCGGTGTCTTTGCTTCTTCACCACTTGCGGAGGCGTCCATTGCTTTTTGCGGTTCGAAGATTGCCCGCGCCAGACTATACTCCAGAAGAGAGTGGTGAATAAAGTGGTGCTGATTGCCTGTACGAGCGAGCGGGGAAGCCTCGCGTAGAAGGTATCTTTTGTTGCCTCTGCTAAAGTACTCTTCCTTCCACGTGCCCTTGTCTTTAAATGGGGAGTAGTCCACCACTGGATTGCCATCTTGGTGCCTGTATATTGCTATAGCTAGCTCTGCCAAGTATCTGATTCCATTCTGCGCAAATCCCTCATCTGTCAGGATTCGAAACATCCTCCTGTCCTCTAGTCCTATTGTCTCACCCAATCTCTTTTTCCCCCGCTCGAACCACAACTCCACAAATTGATCAAATAGCGAGACACGCTTGACCTGCGTGTTGGAGATATCTTTGCTTGGATCTACCATTCGTGGTAGAACTTCCAGCGCTAACGACAGCAAGAAAGGGTTCCTCACGAGCTCATGTAGGCTGGGTACCATCTTGAGTGCACGCTGGTAGTTCTCAACTGGCCACAGTGGATCCACGGCGGCAACATATTGTTTGATATATTCATCGATCTGGATCTCAGAGAAAGGTAAAATTGTGAGCTCTTGAAATAATCCAGAGTCTGCTTGGTGGTTGCGGTCTATCGGTCGGAAGCGATCTCGATAATCCAACCCAAGATACTCACTGCGACAACTAATCACCATTTGAGCCGTCCACTGCCCAGGCTGGTTAAGCTGATTGGTCACATACAAATTGTTGGTTTGCAGGCTCTCATCGTATCCATCACAAATCAAAACGAATGACCGATTCATCTTTAACTCCTTTATCTGTGAATCAGTAAAATCATATCTTCGCAGGTGCTTTGCGACCAAATCCTTCTCTGGATTATCAATGGTTGCCAGATTGATAAGCAATGGAATCCGGCCATGCCTTTTTTGGTACGCTTCCCATAAGATGCACTCGAGGGTCTGGTTGAACGTCGACTTGCCTGCTCCTGAAGTGCCTTGGATGAGCAACACTCCCTGGCCGCTGACTAAACACTCCTTTGCCTTGTCCATCAGCAAAAACACTTTATCATCACATGCTTGGCGACTCGCTTTGGCGTATTGTTGGATGTAAAACCTCCTGTCATCTTCGTCCTTCGTCCGCTGCCGCTTTAATAAACGCAGGCTCTTTTCGACATCAGGTATCTTCTGCACGCGGTTGAGCAATGATGGAAATGCAGATGGAGGTGGTGTGATAATATAGGGACACTGAAGCAGTGGTTCTCCGAAACAGCTTCTGTATAGTTCTTGCTTTTCAAGGCTTCCATCCACCTCCAGACGGTTTAAAAGGGCTTTTGCAGCTAGAAAGAAATAAAATAACGGGAATGTAGAGCAATAGGATTAATAATCACATGTTGAGTGCTCACCATCCTAAAGCACACACACAGAAAAAAGAAAAATGGCCGACCTGATAGACCTCCCATTGGCAACGAAGCTAGTTTCCTAAGGAGGTTTATGACCCACTGCTTGATGTGCACATGAAAGCCCCACTCCCAATCATTCTTATAAATCTCACCCAGAAAAGCAATCGCATCCTGACGGATATCCATAACCCACCGTTGATCGGCTCCAATTTGTCCAAGCCGCTGGCATAGTCCCCACTGGAATGCTGGATCCATTCGACATGGCGCTTCACACAAAAGAGCTTTGAACTTGGTGAGCTCCCCTGCCTGGAGTAGTGCATCAGCTCCATGTAGTGTAGGATACCATGCTGTCTTGCGATCAAAACTGAGGCCTTCTTCCAAACACTGCTTGAATATCACGCCACTTTCGTAAAGTGGAAGATGTATACCGACAACGCCAATCGTCGACGGAAGCCCCTTCTGGATGTTGCCTAATTCATCCATGAAAGCGTTCATATCCCAACCTTTGACTGCGCTTGCCATTCCAAACAATCCTCGAGATACTGCTGATGTCCGCCTGAGCATTGATTGTGCTGTTGTTTCATCGTTTGGGATATACAGCAGAGCTTGAGAGGCATAAGCTGCTTGATAGACTAGATGAGGATCTGAGCTGGCTTTCAACCCCTTGAGGTATGCAGCGAGTGGTTCATGGAGTTGTTCCCGCTTAAGGCCCTTGATCTGGTTGTTGACCATTGCATCAAGAACATGTGAGACTGTAGCAGTTAAATTATAGAGATGGCTGTCAGATTGGTTGTGAGTTTCCTGCAAGCGAGAACTGAGAACATTAAGGATTGAAACAAGGTCATCCGAGTCGAGATATCCAAGTGGAGCGCGCTGCATCAACTGAGCCAGCCCTTCCAATAAATGAGTCTCTAGCATGATACTCTGGCTGATCCCATTGACTAGAGCCATGAGTAGTGTCCTATACTGATCATGGCTGAGGGTTGGAGCCAGAGACACGGCTTCAGCGACAGTGGCCCTGGTCTTGACTCCGTCATTAATGAACAATGTAATCATATCCGATGCAATGTTATGTAATCGCTCTTGCTCATCATGATCGTTTGATCTGGCCAAAGCCCACTCTTGCTCATGATCATCGAGATCTTTTGTTGGGACAGGCGCCGTAGGAAGCAGACTAAGACAATGTACAAGCTGCTGAACATCGTTCAGATGGGCATCAACGTTTGGTAAGACGTATTTGATAACCACATGAGGTACGTTATAGTTGAATATATCTTTTGGAATAGTTGCAGTGCCTTGAATTGTTGCGCCTCTTGCTAGTTCAGCTACCTCCCTAGATCGATTACTACTGCTACTACTACTATTATTATTATTGGTATTGATGGCGATGTCCTTATTCCTATTGCTATCGATGCTATCGATACTGTTCCTGCTGCTGCTGATGTCGCTCATGCCGCTGATATTGCTAATGTTGCTGGTGTTGCTGCTGATAGAAAAGTCAAAAGACAATGCCCTTTGGCGGGTGATGTTGCTTCCATTGATGTATCCCCATTCTTCAGCTGCTCTATCACGTATCTGAGCATCACCTGAGAGACCCAACTGCTCAAACAAGCGAGCGAGATCATAGAAGGCTGAAGCAATGTCTTGGCGCAGAGCCATATCCTCGTTAGAAAATGGAAAAGTTGATGAAGTGAGGACCTTTCTTGCAGATCGTTGAATTCGAGATAGCACAGAATCTGCATCGAGACAAAGCTCCATCACTACCTCATCATCATCATTTATTTTGCGAGTGCCTTCCATGTAGATATCGAAGAGTTTCAGAGCCTTCGCTGGAGAGAGTATACCCCGTGATGAGGCACGCTTGGTACCAAACTTGGTACCAAACATTGTTTGTTGCTCTTTTCTTTTTATTGATTTCAGCAAAAGAAGACGAATAACACTTATTAGCATTGATGATATGGACAGAAAAATGCAATTGAGAGTTCCAAGTGTATGTTTACAGGTACCTGTTTGAACAAAATATTAAATTTGAGGGCGAAAGATGAGAGCAAGTATGAATGTTATTGTGGCAAAAAGTAAAAGAAAGTGAAAAAGAAAGGGAGAATATTTAGAAACGAGACTAGATAATAAATACCCGCCATGTCCCCCCTTAAGAAATGCATGTAATTGCCCAAAAAAAAAAAAGAAAGAAAGTACATGTCATGTTGATCCTAGGATTTTTCGCTCTATAGCCATACCATGGTAATATCTATTTATTTATTTATTTATTTTGAGAAAACTATTCACTTGAGCTGTGTAGACACGCCCACCATTTCTTATGAGATTCCATGTAGTAGGTTTGCCTGATCGATTTCTATTAAATGTAGTTAAGAAGAGGTTTTTTTTTTTCAATAAAAGTATACATATACCAACATCTCTCATCCTTAAATCGCTTAATAAAGCTCAATGATGCGTATGTATTATGGTTATTACTATTATAATTACTAAGAAGTTTGTCTTGTTGCTTGTTGAGCTTACCTCGCAAATCAAGTTTGTTCTCTTTTTTTTCTGAACACCCCTTAAAAAGTCTTTTTGCTGTTAAACAAATCATTCAAGGGTCGTTGCACGCTACTTTTTTTTTTTTTTTTTTTTGCCACTCTACAATTTATTCTACCATCTTTTAAAAAAAAAAAAAAAAAGTCATTCACCATGTCAGTAGAAATGCAACAGAGGATCTGTATAGGTCCCAAAGGTAGACACAGAAGAAGAATAAGCAATAATAATAAAAAAGATAAATAAAAGTAATATTTTAAAAAGCACCTCAACTCATATTGTTTTTTAGTATCACAGAACTCAGAGAATCCTATCAGCATACTCCTCCCAAATCCTAGTTCCGGTAATTCATCTCATAGATCATCGCACTGAACTGCCAAAGAAAAGGAGAAGGGAGAGATCAATATAATTGATCAGTTTATTTAACTCTTTTTTTTTTTTTTTTCTGTTAAAAAAAAAAAAAAAAATCCTGGACTAAATAGGGCTTCCATCTCGATACATCATTCAAGAAGGTCGGCTCTTTGAAATGCAAGTAGTTGATACGGAAGGCTTACGGTCATGGTTTGTTGGAGATACAGTTCAATCAGGTACCTTTTTTTAATAATTTTATTTTATCGCGCAAAATGCTTAATAAATATGAGTATAAAGATTAAATAAAAATAAAAATCACCATTTTGTTTAATGTATTTGTGTATAAATATTAGATGGATCATTATACATTACCACACCAATCGACCCTGTCTTCATGTTCATCCCCATTCTAGATATAATGCGTCAAAAAACCATTGATTCGGAAGGTCGATTTTTGACCATTGATACCATTTTTGAAAGCGATCAGTATACTTCTTTAAGACACCTTTCACAACTTCACAAAATTGAGCTCTCTCTGGCTTTGGTCTGTGAAGTACGCGGATCAAGCATAATGAAGACATTTAGATTAGATGATGATAAGACTATGAAATGGTTGAAACAGAAAGTAGAATTAATAGTCAACAAGTTTGAATCTGTCCCTGCCTTGGTCGAATCAATTGCCTATACAGAATCATTGCCTGAAGTTTGCAGAAAAGGTTAGGATGTGATGGAGCCTAGGAGGGCCGACTTTCCTCTTTTTTTAACCTTATAGCCTTGACGCGGCAAGGCCATGCCTTTTAAGTTAGCGGACTAAATTTTTTTTTATCTCGACGTATTCTTTTCTGTAATTAGAGGCTATTGTACAGTCTGCCCTGAGACTTGTATCCGCATACTTGTCAGACAGCTGGGACGCCAAATTAGCTGCTGAATATCAGTAAGTAACAAGTATAAATCATTCAAAGACAACGATAGGAGTGATCTGAATGATCCGACGCTATCTCTATAGTTGCATTGCAATGCATTGCGCTAGGTACCATCTCACTCAATAACTCATAATTAATCTTAAACGTAAAAAAACCGTGCTCCTATAGATTTCCTGAACTTGATAAAATGCAGAGTAGGACTCAGCTACTATCGATTTCCGACTTTGGCAAGCGATCTGGAATGGATTTAGATGAAGACTTTAAAGCAGACAAGGAGATAAAAAAGCCGAAAATGTCTGTTGGACAGAAAAAATTGGCCAAGGCTAGCGCAGGAATGAAACCCATCTCCAGTTTCTTTGCCAAGAAAACCGCGTAGAGCATTTATAAAATAGATTCCCATTGTTCGTGGCGAGGGGTTTGCTGACTTGCTAGTTTGGTTTCGTCTGTGTACAATACAAATGCTGTCGAGTTTTTATTGCAATGAATCAACTAAATGTTCATATCATGATGATGAATGACGGAACTTTTAGGAAATGTCAAACAAACTACCTCGTGATTATAGGATTGATACAATGGAACACGGATAGGCTATGGGTCATGTTGATCGGCCTTTAGTCTCTTGTTTGACTGGTCATCGTTCTCTGACGCTGATATTCTTCGTGAAGGCTTTAGCGCATTTGTATTTGCATTTGGGTCGGCATCAGCTTTGGCGTTAGTGTCGACCGTTTGCTCATTCTCATGAACGCTATTCATACTAGCCTCTATCATGCTATAATCTCTTTGACTTGCTTTATGACTTCCGTTAAAGCTCTCCTGGGCGCTCACGAATGATCGATCACTATCATTGCCCGCAACAGCATCGGTAGTCCCAGTATCCGATTCGGCATCGCCTGCGGTCTTTTTCAAACGGCTTCCCTCCTGGACTGAAAGATCCTCTGAACCATTTTCACACTCTCCCTCGCTATCTGTATCCATGCCAGTGTCTCGAACCATACCCTCCTGAGAGAAGAATCCAATGCCCGATCCGTTGTAGTTTTTGTCCATGGATTGCATGCTATAGTCGCGATCTGTCTCTTGCAAATACTCATGTGGCTTGAGCTCTGGCGATTCTACAGGTTCTTGTTGCTCATCTTCTTCAGGTAAATCCGGAATATTCTGACTAAAGGGAGTAGGCTGCGAATAGCCAATCCGTACTCCGCGCTGCATTGCTCTATCAGCCCTCTCTGTCATAACACGCGAAAATAGTTGGTTAACTTGAGGCATAGGTTCTGTCCTCGCTTCTGATGGCATTGTTCCTGCATCATCCTATTTTTACACAGAAAAAAGCAAAAAAAAAAAAAAAAAAAAAAAAAGTAAATAAATAAGCATTTTTGATGAATTTCCTTCTAGATCACAAGTCTGTGATTCCTAACAAGGGTCGTTTATATTACCTCCATTGTCATCCAAACATGGTTGAGCGCCTCATCCACAGTAAGTCTATCATCGGTACTTTGTGCCAGCAATCCTTGAACCAAATCAACTGCTTCGTCGCTGACTTCGTCCCAGTATGGCGAGGGGAACGTATACATACTTTGTAAGACTTGAACCCTTAGCTTTGGTGGGGCTAGGTCATCTACGGGCAGGAAAAAAAAAATCTTATCAGTTACTATGCTTTATGAACCAAAACATCGCAACTTAATATATTATTACATACCACTGAATGGAGGGAAGCCACACAAGCAGATGTAGAGAACTACACCCAGGCTCCACATATCGACTCCCTTGCCATACTCCCCATTTCTGATGACTTCAGGGGCCACTGAGTAAAAGATAAATAGTAAACAAGAAAAAAAAAAAAAAAAAAATCAATTTTTGATACCATTGATGACTAATTATCCAGAACAGACCATAACAGAGGCCAAATGTTTGTCGAGAGCCAAGTAGGTACCATAGCTGGGAGTGCCGCAGACAGTGTTGAAGAAAACCCGTTCCCCAATCATCTTGGCAAGACCGAAATCAGAAATCTTGACAATCATAGCCTCCTTGTCCATCACAAGGATATTCTCTGGCTTCAGATCACGATGAACAACACCTCGATCGTGCAAATATTTCACCCCCTCGAGAACCTGCCGGAATATATGTCGGGTTTCGCTCTCTGTGAACTTTTGTTTATCGATGATCTGATCAAACAACTCTCCATCGGGTGCACTATAAAACATTAACCATACAAGTAGAAGCCATAGTTTGAGAATTGGCCCTATATCCTTGGTCTGCATTGGTATAACCTACTTTTTGTAAGAAAAACCTCTATCATCAAACGTACAGCTCTGTCACTACATAATAAAAGGCTGGCTCGTTGAAGACCTGACAAACTCTCAAAAGATTTTTCTAAGGTAAAAAAAAAAAAAAGATTCCAAGACAAAACGTTAGCCATCAGTATCTGGTAGGCGATATGGTACAATAAATTATTAAAATCATTTTCCTTTCATCTCTCGTATATATGCCATACATGGTCAATACTCATGAGGATTCCGATTTCCCTTTCCAAGCTAGCTTCCACTTTGGCGTTGAAACTCTCATTCTTTTTAACGATCTTGACAGCATAGACAACTCCTGATTTTCTGTTTGTTGCCTTGAAGACCGTTGCGAAATTTCCTGAGCCTAATTGAGGTCCGCGCTCATATTGACTATCAAATGTCTATGAAACATTATTACAAAAAAGGGGAGGAGAAAAAAAATAAACAATTAGTCATTAGACGAAATGTGGAGTTGGAGTAGAGTTATTGGTGTTTATGAATGATCTCTTTGTTTCTCTATTTTTTTTTTTCTTTCTCTTACTAGGTCATCTGCTGGTTCTCCTTCGATAAAAATGAAGCGGCTCCGATCTTTAGAATTGCGCATTTCATGCAGATAATTGACCTTGTCTTTATGTTTGAGTTGCACTCTTCTATTGACCCCGACTTTTACTCCATTAATAAATGTTCCATTGGAACTAATGTGAATTCGATAGTGTCCAACGGAAAAATCAAGGCATCGAGTTTTAGTGGTCTTTTTCATCTTTCGAGTCTCTCGCTCAATCTTCAGAGTTTTGAAGAATAAAGAAATATATAAATGTATTTACCTGAAATCTTTCAAAAAAACGCGTTCGACAGGTCTCTTCAACGCTGGATCGTGGACCATCTCCTTATAAATAAGGAAATGACGACCACTGACCAAAGGACTACCGGGAATACTGAAAGAGATATATATACATATGTGGTTGCCAGAGTGTAATTGGATTTGGAGCATTAGAGTATCAGAACACCGTTAACGAGAATAGCCAGGTTGAAGAGAAAGCAAAGCGAAATTGTGTTTCATCCCCACATTAGGAATGTAAATGAATGGTACTCATTTCTTTTTCCCACTCTTCCACGAGAGAATGTGATTCCATTCCGATAATACCTACACAAAGTCGCAGTCGTGTCGACGGCCAAAGACATATCCTCCTACACCAGACTCGCCGTCATTCCCTTCTTTGGTGAACTGGATGATGTGCTTTGTGCCATCTTTTTCGTACTCAAATGAACCCCAGCATCGCGGTTTCTCTTGTTTCACAGGTAATGAGCTTGTGTTGAGAGCCTTTGTTGAGGCTGTAGCTGGATGGGATCCTGATTCCGACATGGATGTAGCAGAGGATGTGAAAGAATGAGAATCTGAACTGGGTTTATACCGAGAGTTGCAGGGCCAGCTCAAGAAAAAAATAAAAAGTTGGAACCGAACTGAATCAGACTAAGAAAAATAAAAAATAAAAAGATTTCGACAGTTGAAGAATTAAATAAATAACTATTGGTCAAAGGACTGGAGCTATTTTGTAAGGGCCATGGAGCGAAAAATAATAATAATAATAATAATAATAATAAAGCGCGTTGTGTATTTTGTGTGTTTTGTCTGGTAAACTATCCCTCTTTTCTATGCTGATTGTGTAAGGTTGCATGAAGTTTTGTTTTGGTGGCAAATGAGGGTCATTCTTCCTTGATGTTGTGTATATGCATGAATAGTATACATGTCCATTTCAAGTCCTTGATACTCCTCATTTCATAGAAACTCCATTATATGTGTACATCCTTCATGCCATCCATATCAAGCCAATATTATCCTGTGCACTAGCAACTAGATTGAACGTTACCGAAGCTCCACTGTTCACCATCCACTATATAAAGTACAACAAGTTTACATTAACAACATTACTTCTGCCTCCTCCCTTTCTCCTCTACTTTTTTTCTCCCGCTTTTCCTCCCCCTGCCTTCGATCACATCGTCACATCATGCTACCCAAGTCGTGGCGGCTATTTTAGTTTGGCTGTCCCAACCACAAAGTCTCAATTGAGTTTGCTCTGGTGGCAAACCAAACAAACTCTCTCCTATTTTATTCACACAAAGTTTATCGTAACGGGAGGACCTTACTGTGACGAACTAAAGTTCATCACGCTGCTGAAATGGGCATGCTACAGGAACTGGGACAATCAACACAGCAGATCGAGATGGTTAAAAATATTCAGAACACAGTCATGTTGTCCCTGAAAAAAAAAAATGCATCCAATCTAAATGGATGTGTTTTGCCACCACATCATAAAGTGTAGATAGGAACTTTCTTTCTTCCCCCTACTACACCCCGGTAAATACGCCTGTCACGAAAAGGGAGGTTAGTGGATGTTGCGTAGCTTTAAGGAATTTGAAGGGGCACTGCCTGTCGAGATCATCCGAATAACGACAACTACATCAACTCTTGCATAGGCGATAAAAACAATCGTTACTCAATTGCGCTAAACGCAATCTGCACTAAGGTTGCAGCCTATGTGTTCAGACTCAGTCGGAATACTTTCAACGGGATGTTTCTGTGGACACAAAGAAAGATGCTGAATATTGCTTCCCTACTGGTTCAAGTATCAATTGCTGTGCTGCATTTCTTTTGCTCTCACAGAAAAAGTGGCTGCGCATTGCAATTGTTGTCTCTAGAAACCACGAGAACCTAGAAGAAACATTTTTCCAAAGGACTGCTTCGGTGGCAAAGCATTTTTTTTTTCCTTCTTGTAAAAGAGATGCCTCCACCAGAAGCATGGGATCCTCCTCCTCTTCTCTTTTCTTTTTTTTTCACAATCTTAAAACAGTTCATCGATCTCTGCCCCTTTTGATTGATCCTTGTTCTGCTTAAAAAAAAAAAAAAAAAAAAAATTCAAAACAGTTTTCTTTTTTTTTTTTTTTGCTAATTATTCAACAATCATGGATTCCGATTGGTGCCTCTTCTGCGAAAAACATGTCATGGATCTCGGCGCTGTATACTGCTCCAAAGAATGTTCACGAATGGACAAACTCATGTCAGTTGCCAACAAGCCTTCGATTCAGCCTTCGATCTCTTCGTTGTCGTCCTCATCGTTGTCCTTCAAACGCTTTGCTCAATCATCAATGACTGTTACTTATCCCTCCATGTATCGGTCCTCGACATTGGTGCCCACCTCTATGTCGAGCCGTGGTGGCATCAGCAAGACTGGATACACACCTGTCCCTGCCCCAGCAGTAGCAACTACTGCCAACCGTTGCCTACCTCATAATCGCAGTGGTCGTCGTCAACCCTTGGCTCTTCACGATCTATAATGGCTTCAGCAATTGCTGTAAGCTTTTTCATGTCCTTTTGCCTTCCTCACTCCCAATCTTATGATGTTATAAAAAAAAGAAGAAAAATTAAGAAAAAACGTGTACACCCTCGATCTGCCAGAATAAGCTTTCTTTGTTCTTTTATGAGCCATCGTGAATCGTACACTGCCTTTCTCCCCCTTTGAAAGGAGCCTTGCCGAACCCACCCAAGCTATGGTCGTACCGATCCAGTTATTCTGGACGCCGGCCACTTGTCGTCAAGTAAAACATTTCCCCTCTACTCTTTCGTCCGCCTTACTTTTTAAATAAGAAATAAAGATAAAGGATTTTTTATTTATAAACTTGTCATGTCCTCACGCATTGGCCATGTCAGCTGCCATTTCATTTGTACATGTATTTTGTCAAAGTTTGTGCTGTGCTCCAAGAAAGAAAGCTCATTAGACCCGACAAAGTGGAGGATGCCATTATTATTCTTATAGATTTTGATCAAGAGATCACTTTAGGAATCATACCCTTTTACTAACATTATTCATTTTCTACAGGGACGTTGCTTGTAAACCTACATCCATTGATCCGTATTGGATTAATCTAGGCTCGTTCCCATCCCTCTTCACTTTATAAAGGTGACAGGAAATTCCATTTCCTTTTTGAGTCACCTAAAGTGAAGGGGCTGGGAAAAAATCTTCGCTTATTAGCTGGTAGCTCAAAAAGGAAATAAATAATGCACTTGAGGGAATATTCTTCCGTATATGCAAGGGACAGAACTAGTGGCTGTATTTTTTATAAGTATTTATACTTATAAAAAATTCATGCACAATAATAATTTTTTTTTTTTTTTTTTTTTTTTTTTAATATCGCGTTCCACCTCCAATCCCCTTCACAGTCTGAGTCCTGAGCTCAAGGTGAATATTCTATTCACAATTGCTGCATGCCATAGTTTTCTAGCAAAAAAAATAAAAAATAAAAAAAGTCTTTGTTTATTTTTGTAACATATTGTGATATTGTTTCATAAACCTGAATGGGCTTGACTTCTTAACCTCACTTAATCGCTTCCCTTCCGCTTCTCTTTCGCACTTCTCTTTCTCGCTTCCCTTCCGCTTCTCTTTCTCGCTTCTCGGCTTACCTCTCTCAAACACTTATCTCTTCACTTCCTACACTCCACCCCTCTACAAACAACTTACGATGAATCCTAGCAACACTCCTTCGCTGGTCGACCATAGGAGTTACATTGGCTTGTGCGTTTTACGTCGCCCGAATCGGTAACATCAATTACCGGTTGGACCTTTATAAACGACGACATTTTAACGGAACTCGCCAATCTCCTTATCAATTTAAATAAGGACATCGATAGTGCGTGCCAGCCTGAAATGCAACCGCAGCTCCAAAAGAAGGAGTCCCATATTGGCCGGAATGGCCGTGTTCAAAAACCACGGCCTACCGCAAAGCCAAAGATCGCGTTCCATAATATGACCTCTTTTGACTTCTCCAAACGTGGAAACCCCAATGGCAGCTAACATAGTGTCATCTGTCCCAATTGATTGTTGAAACATTTTAGTTTGTAATAAAGCGTACTAAATCTCAGAAATCTATCAGGAAAAAGCTTAAAAAAAAAAAATTAAAAAATTAAAAAGTTAAAAAATTAAGCATAGCAATCGCGATCCTTCTTTGAGTCTAATCTCAAACCGTTTCTGTGCCTGGAATGCGTGCCTCATTCCTCAATAAAAGGGAAAGTTGTTGCATATTTCAATATGCAATAATAATGGTCCGACTAAAAAACTGATCGATAAAAAATAAAAATAGCGGTAGAAACCAGTGGCAATAATGCGTCACACTAAGACGCGACAAATCGCTGACATGCGAAACCATGTTGTATTATTACAGATAGATATGTAGCTATCTGATACAAGTCTCTCTACCAGAAATGAATAAAATAATCCATGGGTGTGGTGTGTGGACCCACGTCTTATTCTCACTTACTTTTTGACAGTCTACTATCTATCCTAAATATTTTTCAGCGACAACGCACTGGATTGTGGAGTAAATGATGACCTGTGGCCAATTTTCACTTCACTCTTTTTGTGCTTCAAGGGAAGAGTCCGTTTAACATCCACCCAGTTGCAAGAAAATTTGTCAATAGTCTGGCTAGTGACAGCCAAGAAACAACATTGTTTTTTGATCTTTTGATGTCGGATCTTCCTACTAAAACTGAAGCAGAGTTCAGCAAGCGTCGGATTGTTCCCCCACAAATAGGGAAGATGAGTTGGGCTTAGACTGTCGTGATACAAATAGGTTTATTGCAAGAGGAAGTGAAGTAGTTTACAGCCAAAACAACTCATGCAGGACAAAAGAAAGTTGGCTCCGAACCGCTTGTTTGGCAAACTCCAAAACAAGCTCTGATATTAAGTAACCGTTATCTTTAATAAAACGCCTGTATCCCATGAAAGGGGCAAACATGAGAGAAGTCCATGTCCGCAAAACACAGATTTTTTATATTAATAAAAAAAAAAAGAAAACTAACGAGTTAGTCGAACTCTCCTAAAATCATCCATGCTTGGCCTCAGGTGCGGTCATTTTTTTTTAGTTCGCTTAATATGGCGCTTTGCATTCTCTTCATCTCAGCTGTGCAGATCACAAGTAGACATGGCAAAGCACATTAGGCAAAAATAACATTAAAAAAATTAAAAAAATAAAAAATAAAAAGTACAGATATCAGAAAGCTTGTTCTCTGTTGTTCTCAACTGAATCGAATTGATATCAACTAACTTACAGATACCCTCTTCTAGTGCTCTTAGACGAGATGCAGTTTCACTACCACACTTGCTGGGGGTTTCAGAACGCCCTGGTGGAGCCACGCGGGGTGCCAAGTCCATTCCATCTAATATACGCTTCTGTTTTCGCGACAGGAGCTCATCCGAACAGGGGGTGACAGAGCGACTTGCCCAGGGTTGGACTGTGAACTGTAGCTCTTCTGAGGTGAGATCTGGCGAGACAGCTTCCGTGATGTGATCTAACTGAGGAGAAAATGGGTCTGGAGGAGAAGAGGATGTCTTGCTAGGATCTGGGGGAGGAGAGGATATCTCACTGGGATCTGGTAGAACAGAGGATGCCTCGCTGGAATACGTTGGATTAAGGAGTTTTGTGGATATGACGATCGGGTTCGAGTCGAGATAATGGTGGTTCCGGCTCTGGTGGTCAGGCAGTAACGCAAACGAGGCGTTTTTTGGACCTTTTTTTTTCTTCGTCAACATTTCTTCAATCATCGTATGGCACGCATGGCATTTGTGGACATGCCGAGAAAACCCTGGTTGCCCAATTTCATCACATCCTTCCCCGGGCGGTTTGAACATGCCATTGTCTGTCAGTGTAGCAATGTAGACGATGCACAGCTTGTTGCCAAAAAGTGGTTTGATGTAAATGTTGGCGGTTGCAGAGGAAGAATGGCTTTCTTTACCATCGTAAGAAGGAGGGGCTGCTCCATGCGTGATAGCCGTGATAGCCGTGATAGCCGTGATAGCCTTGAGTTTTTTTTGTTTAGCTTTAGGCATCCCAAAACTTGATGTGGATGAGAAGGTGAGAGAGTGAATTTCTTTCATGTTGGCCTTTTTTAAATTTTAAATTTTAATTTCTAGACTCTTTCAAATACAAATGGTTTACTTTACAAAATTCTTATAGTTGAAAGGATTAGCCTTCTGGTTAAAAAAGTTGCGTGCGTATACCCAACTTTTTTACACCAGTAGTTTTGAGAAAAGCGGTACGTACCCAACACTCTTACACCACTTTAGTCCGTCGGTTGATTTTTTTGCACGTCCACTAATATCTTTATGTGAACTTTTTTTTTATATTATTCTCTTGACCAGTTAACTTGGCCAGCAAAAATCGAAACTTTGTCATCGGCTCCAGAAGAGAAATATGGGGCCCAGGCTAGAAACAGAAAAAAAAAATTTTTTTTCTTAGAAACCATTTCGCATGTTGTAACAGTATATAGCCTTAAGCCTATAAAAAGGCTTGTTTTAATATTTATAATAAAATCACCTTTTGTCTTCACTACCTATTACACATGTCTTCCACTAACAACATCGTTTCTTCTTCCTCTGCAGTTAGCACTAGCAGGAAACGTACTCGTGACGAAGTAGAGAGCACTCCCAACGTTAACGAGGTGTCATCGAGTACTCAATCCGATCCAAACGAGTACCGTGGCAGGCTAGTGCCTTTCAAACCAGTGTCCACGGAAAACCTGTTAAGTGTATATAGTAAACTTTTCCTGGATCCGTACCAGTGTTCAATCCGCGGGCGGTCTGACCCTTTGCCAGCCGAGTATCAGGACGGGGATGAAGTCTATCCTCGAGAATGGTTGGTACTCGAGGGTCAAGAGGCAAGGACACCCAAGGGCCACGTGCTAAAGCGTGAAGGCTTCACGCTATTCCGTCTGCATGAGCCATCGTTGTTCAAGCAGTTGGAGAAGCTCAAGCTTCGGCTGGTCTCGGAGGAGGATTGGGAGACCGCCAAAAAAGCAAGGGCTACTCTGCAACAACAACATAGAGTGGCTGAGGCGCCTGTGGTTGCAAGCACCACAGAGTCAATGCAGGAGTTGGCAGCTAGGGGTCTGCGCAAGGTTTTCACTGAGCTGACCGCTGTTGGCGTGGAAGCGCCTCATAGTAAACGCTTGGAGGAAAGGGCAGCTCTATGGATAGAGCTATATAAGACGGTTGTGCCAGCCAAGCATCCTGTCGATCAAGAGGAGACTGCTAGCGAGCCAAACAGTTCTCCTCGTCATAGTAAGAGAGCTCGAACATCCGTAGAGCCATCTACAAAATAGTATTTTTTTTCATCGACATTAATAAAAGTGCAATTTGACAGAGTTAGAGGTCACACTCAGGCACCAGAGTTTTGAAGCATAAAAAAATATATTTGTGGTATCGATCGACTGAAACAACTCACTACTTGAATTGAATCAGGTTTGGCACATGAATTTTTCCACCTTACGCTCAGTGGAAGAAGAGGCTTTCAAAAGATCGGCCTTGCTTTCAGTGTCAATGGCTCAACTCTGAAGATAAAATAAAGCTAAGCTACAAGTATTTAAGTAAATGCAACCAGTGTAAAGTCTGTATGTATAAATGGTTAATGAGAGATGCCTGTCCCTTTAATATTACAGACAATGTTAATAGAGCACAAGGTATCCTTTCCATAACCTAAACCCCACTACTCCTGTGGACAAGATAAAGGAGAGTCCAGCTGGCGTAAGCAATATAAGAGGTCCAACGAAAACCCAGCTACCCGAGTATGTCCGCAATATGGACCATCCGGCGCAGTATACCGTGTATGGTATTGCTAAGCAACATGGCGACCTCGAAATCGAGTTATAACCAATTTCCGCTGAGAAATAAAATCCTTAATTATTATTTATTATTTTTTTATATACTATAAAATGTAATTATTTTATGACAATGGGGGACTCATGTAGTGCGTGTAAAGGTGCTGAAGGCTGAAGGTTTGAGCCTAGTGACGAATGCAAGCTTGGGAAAGGATCACTCACAAACTCGTCTATTGCTGTAAGCTTTAATGACTAGAAAAAAGAGAGGACTTCAGTAGAGTTGAATTAGGTCGTTGGACATGTAATCGGAAAATGAGGAAAAGAGGTGCATTGGGTGAGAACGTTAGGTGTCTGCTGGAAACATGACTGAAGGTATAAAGCGCATTAACTGAAGCGTTAGCCGAGATGTTAAAAAAAGAGTGTACCATATCAAAAAAAAAAAAAAAAAAAAGGTGTAAAAAAAGGTGTAAAAAAAGGCGTAAAAAGGCGTAGGTGTAAAAAAAGGCGTAGGTGTAAAAAAAGGTGTAAAAAAAAGGTGCAACAAAAAAAGGGGTGAAGCTGAGAGTGTTAGAAGCACATCGTTTTTATTAAAAAAAAAAAAAAAAAAAAAAAAAAAAAAAACAATAATGTGTAAACAACACGCATTCGCAAGATCATACACGCATTCAAACATGGATTGACGAGTGTCGTATAAACTGGGGGCACCTTCATCTGACCTATTGGACCCATAGCTAAGTTTAACGCCAAGGTTTTTTATCTTTGTATGAGTGGGCTTTCCTCGGCCCTGTCTCTTCGCAACCATCGGAGTGAGTCGCACGATGGATCCCGCGGACGAATTCTACCCTCAAGTGTGAATGCTACGACCACTCTGTCCAGACCCACAGGTCACTGAAGGACCATCTCCTTAAGTGTCCAATGGTCAGCAAACTCGTGTTCCCGCGGCCGTGTTCGTGGTGCAAGGAGCCGATGAAGATGACAGAGAAAGCGAAGAAACAAAACTCCTTGAAAGACGTTGCGGCTCTTGCGAGCCACTCCCTCAAATGCGAATCATGGCCGGTTAGCGTGTCTCAGGAGGACTGGCGTTTATTTGAGATGGAGCTTATCGACAACGTGAAGCATGTTGCTAGTGCTGAATTTGCCAAGAATATGTTTATGTCAATATCGATAAAGTTAATGGACGGCGAGAAGCTGTTTGGTTTTGCGCTTGCTCCCCGAGCCTATATACTTAAGAAAGAAGGGAAGTCGCCTTGGTGAGCCCTTTGAACCATCAACAAGAAAGGACACTGGAGGACGCGGACTTGGAGATGGCTCTGAAGCCTCAGCCTTACGGTCGGCTGGTGAAGCTGGAGGAGTACGAGCTGGCGAAGGATAACGACTAGTTTTGGCACATGCCGTTCTTAGGTAACAGCGAGCAGGTGGCAAGGAAGTTGCAGAGCTGTCTGATCCAGTCTGGTAACGACGTTATCATGTGTCTTAAGGTGGAGGTGTACAGCCGTCTTCAGTCCGAGGACCCCCATGCCGATGCATTCGTGGCTTTTCCAGGTAGCAAGGTGGTCAAGGTCGCCAGTCAGTTGTTCAATCGTACCAGCCAGCTGATGATTGGAACAACCGCATGGAGTGCTCTAGTGACGATGGGAGTTGTGCTGACGAGTGGCAAAGTTATTGTGGGGCCACATAACATCGTTTTCAATCCTCACAGTGAGTCGCACATATGGCTCAAGAAGGTAGTGAGGAATACCTGTACAACAATGTGGAGCGTCAGACGCGGTCCAACTTTGACGAAGAGGCCACGTACGGCAAGCACGCTGCCGTACATCCTCAGTTTAAATCGCCCTTCACCAGTCCAGTGCTGTTGGCGACTTTGTGGCATTTCAAGCATCAGCAGAAGGGATGGTCAGGCCTCAAGCTTGCTGCCTATATTTTCTACGAACTCTACAGTGACAAGGGCGTTGTGCTGAAGAAGCAGGTGGAGGATTACTTGGCCCTGATTCCGCATGCCAAGCAAGGTAATGGCGGGATTTACAAAAATCTGGAGCAATTGGTCAAAGTCATGAAGGCGGAAGAGACAAGGCCTGTCTCGGCGGAGGTTGATAAAAAGCTGAGCGGTCTTGCAGACAAAATACAAACAGAACTGACTCGTATCAACACCGGTACTATCACAGTCAACGTTGAGGCGCAGCTAAAGAGAATACTACAACCGTGAAAGACGTATGAGTAATTTTATCATCATCAACGCGGAGTCCTTTACATTTTTTTTCATATCAGATTATGTCTCCCTCCCGCCATGCTTCTATATTATCTTTCTGCGATTTTTATTAAATGACGACAAAGACGATATTTATACAATAAATAAGACTAAATGGGTGAAGATAAAAGAACCATTATGAAAAAGAAGGAACCTAGTCTACACTGAATTATATACAATAGAATGGTATTACAATAAACTACAATGTGATGAACATGATTAGGACAATAGATTGCAATATGATACAGACAATAATAAATTACAAAATGATACAGTAGAAGTGGTACTTGAGATGATACAGGCTGGGACGACAAAAGTGCGAAGGTTCTCACAAGGCTTATGCTGATGAGGATGATATTGGAGCAAAGAATAAGAGCAGAGAAAGGACCAGAAATGAGAACATAATTGGAGCTGGAGACAGGGCAGGGGACGAGGTATAAATGCGGGAGGATTGATCCTTGCTCCTGTACAGAGTAAGCTTCTATGTGAAGCTACTGTCTGGATTCAAAGAAAATGGACCTCCATGACGGGGACATTGCACTATTCCCTAAATGCCTCATCTAGGTCAGAGAAGTCGTATTCATCATCTGCTATCACATCTAAATCTGGGCTATCGTATCCATCTGTCTGCATGTTTTCAGGGAAACAGGAGGTAATATACGACTCCACCTGTTGATCTTCTATCGCAAGGCTTGCGAGAACAGTCGCCATGTCTTCGGTACTATTTCGTTCGGAAATGTGCTTAACAATGTTTTGGAAGCGTCCTGCTACCAGCTTTTCAAAGCCTTCGCAATACAAATCTGTGGTAATCGGAATATGGCTGCTGCCCAGACAGGAACCTCTGCCAAGAATATTATAGTCACGAAGATGAGCTACAATTCTTATGATATCTTCATCGACAGAAACTGGTGAGTGTCGAGTACTGTTGGGAATCATGTTGTACTGTGACTCGAGCACCGACTTGAGCTTCGAAAACAGACGAATGTTGGTAGATATTGAATTGGCCAATGTCTCCCAGGACATATTGCTTTCCTTCGCTGCATGAATGACTTTTGTCAGCAGGTTATTGTGCTCTTGGTACAAATCCGCAGGGATCCACCCATTCTCCTTGCCCTTCGTATTTATCAGCAAGGAGGACAAAATAGCCTTCCTCCGTTGTGCAGACCAGCCGTAGTGGATCCCATATGTCAAACGCAAGAGCTCGCCTGCATAGTTTTTCATTCCTCCAGCTTGAAACATGACGGTTATCGTTCCCAGCACATCTTGGATGCGTCCGATGTCCCCAGCCTTTATGGCTGCACCCAATTCGATATAAACAAGAGCATCCCTGATAAACAAAGCCGCGTTTGCATTCGCACTGCCGCTTTCCTCGGCGATCTGATGTGCGTTGCGCAACCACTTTTGTATGACAGCGTCGACCCCTTCGCAAACTTTGCCTAAAATATTGTCCGACTTGCCATAGTTCTCTAGCCTGCACTCATAAGCCTGCATGTCGCTGATATTTAGCCCAAACTCAACTTCCCATAGCCGTCTTACCATTGCATCGAAAGTATGCCTTATCAGTTCGTCTGCGGCGTGAAAGTTGGATGTATCACGGCCAAGTCGCTTTCGCCCCAGCATGGATATAATAAAACCCAGAGACCCTGGTGATGAAAAGGACCCATAATGAGTACGAAGGATTGTACCACAGAGAACCATTTGGAGGTGAAAGAGCTGTATCACAGGAATCGCCCATTGCATTCGATCGAAACTTGTTCTATCTTCTCTGCGTAGTTCTTGCAAGGATGCTATTCTGGATATGGTAAGCTGATCCCCCGCAACTATAACTTTTGTATAGTCGGTGAACCACTCTTCAGGCAGCTGAAGCGTGTCTCTCATTATTGTCTCAAGGATCTCAATGTTGCCTGATATAGTTGATTGATCGATCTTCAACGCAGGCAACGGGTATGTTTTTGTCTCCTTTACTTCAAGGGGCTCTATTGAAGGGGCATCCATCGAGCAGCCGTAGGTGGTGAAATGCCGCTGAAGAACGTCGATCAAATGGAACCGAGTGACATCTCTACGGCATTATCAGAACGATTAGCTAAAAAAAAAAAAAAAAAAAAAAAAAAGGTAGACTGATTATGCACTTCAGTCGTGTTTTTGTGTCTGTGCCTCACCTTGAGTGCAATTGCCTTGGAATAAGGGTGCAAATGGAGATGGGAAGTACATCTTGATCTTGATCTGGCCCAATATCCTCGCCGAGCACGATGGTCGCGGTGGTCCCATTATCGAAGGAGTCTAAGTTATTGCTGCGCTGGTCATATTTCCGATTGGCCATATTAATGTTATCATACAGCAAGTACCATGGGCGCTTCCTAACTTGGGAACGAACCTCCTGAAGAGAATTCCTTGTTAACGATCTGAGGGCTGTGCAGATCGTCATATGTGACACCGATAGACCACTCACAGCGAGCAAATTTATCACACGCTTTGGACATCCCGAGGCATGCAGATGAAGTCCCATCATCATTTGCAAGTAGTTCGACTTCTGGGAACAGAGTTTCACCAACATGCTAACGATAGTGACACGAATTGCTGGTGCTTTTTCAATGGAGTAAGGGTTGACCGATGTCAAATTGGAGATGATTTTGAAGAGCAGGGGTGCTGATTCCAACTTCTTATTTAAATTTAATGAAAATTCCTGGACCACCTTGGGGGACAAATTCTTGGCTGGAAGCCTCAGGTCATCGGCCTTGGTGAGCTCCTCGAGTTCACGTTTTGCGCCATCAACGACAATGTCTGCTGCAGCCCGACCGAGATCGTCGTATGCCTTATTATGAGCCTTTTCGGATTCCAATTGCGATTTCCACGTCTCGACTATGGAAGCAGGACCGCTATTAGCATAAAATCTCCTGACGCTTCCTTGGACGACCCTATGGCGCGATTCAAATACATCTGATAGGAATTGACGTAACGATATTTTTTTTTCCTCTACCAGCACTTTAAAAATATCGACCAAGTAATCATCATTGGAAGGATAGATGGAGGGAGTTTCGCCGATAATTTCCAGCTCCTCCTGCTGTTCCGATGTAGGCGTTGGGGTTTCTCCTTCTTCCAATGCTTTCCACATCTGGCGCATTGTGCTAGAGATGAGGGGCATGAAGAGATATGTGGAGGATAGACGTGAGATTTGAGGACACATTGACATTTGACACTAACATTGGTTCCGTTTTAGCAATAGTATACATACATGTTTCTCAGCGGCTCAGGAACCGATGGGGTAGCCTGGTTAGGTGTGCGATAGCTCTTAGGAAGCTTGATAGGTTTGAAATTACGAAATTTGATAGAATCCATCGTAAGTTGTTTGTAGAGGGGTGGAGTGTAGGAAGTGAAGAGATAAGTGTTTGAGAGAGGTAAGCCGAGAAGCGAGAAAGAGAAGCGGAAGGGAAGCGAGAAAGAGAAGTGCGAAAGAGAAGCGGAAGGGAAGCGATTAAGTGAGGTTAAGAAGTCAAGCCCATTCAGGTTTATGAAACAATATCACAATATGTTACAAAAATAAACAAAGACTTTTTTTATTTTTTATTTTTTTTGCTAGAAAACTATGGCATGCAGCAATTGTGAATAGAATATTCACCTTGAGCTCAGGACTCAGACTGTGAAGGGGATTGGAGGTGGAACGCGATATTAAAAAAAAAAAAAAAAAAAAAAAAAAAATTATTATTGTGCATGAATTTTTTATAAGTATAAATACTTATAAAAAATACAGCCACTAGTTCTGTCCCTTGCATATACGGAAGAATATTCCCTCAAGTGCATTATTTATTTCCTTTTTGAGCTACCAGCTAATAAGCGAAGATTTTTTCCCAGCCCCTTCACTTTAGGTGACTCAAAAAGGAAATGGAATTTCCTGTCACCTTTATAAAGTGAAGAGGGATGGGAACGAGCCTAGGATTAATCTATTTGGCAGCCCATACCAAATATAGTAATTTTTGCCTCTATTTGGCTGCCTACTTCTGGGGCTGCCACTTAACTTCGCACTCTTGGGTGGCAGCTGGGCTGCCAAATACATTGCTTTTTTTTTTTTTTTTTTTTTTTTTTTTTGATAACAGGGTCATAACATCAGTGGTAAAACAAGCAGCGTTCTGTGGATACATTGCCTTGCATAGCTAATTCCGCCGGAGGTACTAAGGGCAGCGGCGATGACATCTTCACAAAACAGCCTTCAATGTACACGGTTAGAGAATGATTTATTGAAGACGTCTAGGTAGCAGGTGAGACGCGTTTGCTCCGAGCGAAAACCTCTCATAGGCAATGATCTCCAAATGGCACCTCCAAAACTGTATGAGCGACCTACTTTAAATTAATAAAACTCCCGTCTTCTACGTCATAGTTATGTGTAGTCTTGTCTCATTTAGAAAACTAATGACTTTTTTTTTTTTTTTTCAAGTATGAAAAAAAAAAAAAAAAAAATAGTTAGAGGCCAAATAACGCTGGGTAGGCTGCCAAGTAAATAATGAATGTTATTTGGCAACTGGGCTGCCAAAGAGGAATTAAGGAAAAATGCACCCCCCCGTCAGAATAAAATTTTGACCCCCGGTTGAGAATTCCCTTGACCCCCCCGTCAACATTTCTCTTTCCGGAATTCTCATCCCCCCGTCAACATTCTGGAGCTGATTTTCAAAAAAAAAAAAAAAAAAAAAAGAGTACTACATCCTATGATTTCCACACAACTAGTACAGTATTTTAATCTTAACCTCTATTAATTGTAAAGATGGTTTAGGATCGCCAAGCGTTGACGCTGAATAATAATGCAATGTTTTTTTGTCTTTTTCTTTTAAGACTATGTTGGACGCATGTGGTGTATGTTAAGTTGCCGAGGGTTCTGAACCTGATGAATACGAATCTAGGAAGAGATCATTCATCAAGGAACTGATCCACTGATCTACTGTCATGCTTTGATGGCAAGATACAAAGTA